ATGATGTCACAACCCCAGTCGGCCTGTTGGCCTGTGTCTTACGGTAAAAATGTATGTAGAAGTTTACATTACATGGACATTTCGTCATTACAATGTACAGTTCTGGTGGGTCAAGAAAGGACATTTTGGTTGTTGTCAAGGATGACTTGTTACGTTTAAATTGACAACAAAAGTAAATCTGGGAGCTTTGGAGAAACAGAAAACTATATCTATACAGGGAATACGTTTAGTTACCTTACTGCAGTAAGAAGAAAGTACAGGAACTCAAATATATCGACGAAACTTTCAAAAGAGCAGAGGTGTGATAGCAATGATACGCTTCGGTAAACGAAGATTCGTAAGAGCCGGGCTTGAACTTGGCAACCGTTACCCTAGCAACACCGGAACTGACATTTATTTTTAAAGATATATCTTAAGTGAATGAATGAAATATTCAGAATAACAACAAAGTGAAATTCCCGGAAAATACAAATGTAAAATATAGAAAACTTACCCTTTCCTAAATATAATTCCTAAAAGGGAGCCTACTCTGAAAGTTATAAAAAGTTATCTCCCTTTGCAAAACCGCTAAAAAATAAATACACGATTAGCTATATAAAACCAAGAAACTATATTTAGAGCTAAATGTTTCGAAAGTCAGTGTTACCAAGAAAATGGGCTCCAATTGGCTTGTCTGTTCTCACACCCCTAAAATGTACTTACATGTAATAGTGGTACTTTATTTTAAGTCACGCAATAATATGATTATTACCTTCCTATGTGTAGATAAGACAAGTATTTATCTCCAAATGAAAAACTTAATAAATACAACAAATACAAATAAATGATCTTTCAAGGGTACACACTACATTGTTATTTGGTTATTACGTCAGATTTTTCTCATGATTGATGAAAATCTGAACATCTTTAATATATTTTCATGAAAGATTTTGCAACATTGCTGATGCATATAAGAGAATAGTTATGTAAGTGACGTTGTGCAAAGACTTTAAATATCTATCTATACGTCTATGGTCTATTGAAAATAGGATGAGATGTACAATGACATCAAATGTGGACTAATTACACAAATAGGACATCGCCCATTTTGAGTCCCCTACTTAAAATACATCCCTACTTTTACACTTTCACATAGTCTGTCTCCCAGACCCCAGAGAATAAATTTTAAAAGTCCAACTTAAGTACAGAATGATTTGACAAGTCTACATTGCCTCAGCTACGTTTACCTGATTTCTTAAAGGTAAAAGTTCAAAGGTTTATCTAATGGCTTTAAATATGAACATTGTCAGTCTCCCAGACCCTAGAGAATAAATTTAAAAACACCTCAAGTACAGAATGATTTTATATTGCCCCTGCTATGTTTACCTGATTTTTCTCTCGACAAAGGTCTATCTAATGATGTTATAATATGAAAATTGTTATAGGTAACCAAATGTAGCGCAACATTATATACATTTGATGCTTTTTAGATTTAAAGATTATGCAAATATTTGAAAATATTTAAAAGTTAATTTCAGACAGTACTGCCATGTGCCGCCGTAGCTCAGGTCGACAACTAGACGTCCTCAAATCAAATAGTGCAGGTTCGAGCCAGGCTGGCGACACATTTTTTCCGACAAAAAAAGTAGTTCTGTCTATTCCAAGAGTAAATCAATTGAAACGTTGGTTCAAGATAATGTATAATTGATAACCAACTCTCTTTTCCTAAAAAATAATGGAGCGTTTAAACAATAGAATGACGTCACAAGTGTGTTTTAATTAGTTTGTAGGACGCGAATAAAAGTGCACTTTAAACCTACACGACGTTGTAAAAATGAGTAAAGTTTGTTGTTTAACGCCGCACTCAGCAATATTACAGCTAAATGACGGCGGTCTGTACATAATCGAGACTGGACCAGAAAATCCAGTAATTGACATCATGAGCGTCATTCGGCGCAATTGGGATACGATGACATGCATCAACCAAGTCAGGGAGCCTGACCACCCGATCCCGTTAGTCGCCTTTTAAAACGGCAAGCATGGGTTACTGAAGAACTATTCTATCCCGGATCTTCACGGGTTTCAAAGTGGTGTTAAACCACCCACTCACTCACTCACTGTAACTTAGCCCATGCTTCAGAACGACTTAATTAGACCACAATACCTGACATATTGTTTCCCTGGATTTCTTTGGATCAAAAGTAAGCGCGATTGTAACAAAATGAAAAAAAAAACGCATCGGAGTGTTAAAGGAATTGCAATTACAGTGTAGATACAATTCTTTCGCCAGAGGTAGTTTCGTCAACTCGAGCCAACTGTATAATTGTATAGTTAACTTAGAGTTTGCTTTCCGTCAGGTTGTCCACGTTGAGGTGCTCAACTTTATCGACTCACTCGCATCAAGGTCACAGTTCACACAACTTGACCTTGACCTCCAATACAGCACACCATCCAACAGATCAAGTCAGCCTGGGATCAGGGATGCCTGGATTTCGCAACAGTCGGGATGCCGAGTTTTAGCCAGGAGACTCAGGGGACCTATAGTGCCAAGACTCCCTTAGTAATAATAGTCGTACTGCTATATTCCTTTGTGGACCTTCTGGAAGCCTGCAAAGATGGGGATCTGTGGTCAGGCTATGTGATCCTTGTTCTTGCTTTCCGAAACTAGTTTGCCTGCTCCAGACTTGTTTTTTTACACGACATGGCTGGAATATTGTGGACGAGCGCAGATATTTGTTAGCTGGGCCCATGTGCAATGAGCAGGAAGGCTAGCACTGGAGTCATCTTGGCAAGCATGGAGACGACTGAGGCAATGCAGCGGATCTGGGAGTCCCACCATGCTGTTCAGGGCTACCTAGTGGTTTTAGACTTCTCTCGTGATATTGCTGGAATATTGCTAAAAGCGGCGTAAACCCATACTCACTCACTCACTCAATATGTATGAAGTTAGTTTTATCAGACCATCCAATATGTCCAGTTGTGTTTGAAATGTTTAGAATCATAATGCAGCCAAGGGAATACCACACCAGACGTTATCCTGTAATCTGGACTGAATGCATAATTGTATGATTAATGTAAACATGGTAAACAATGAAATATTCTCAATGAATGTGTTGTTTTTGTAGTCATGGAGCATTGACTTCATATCTTTTGTACAGTATACGTCTTACTGTGATCTACGTACACAGTGTTGTTATTTAATTGAGTGCAGCTATATACTGTAATCAATAATATTACAGCATATTTATCATGGCAGCATGGTTGTATTCGAGGGACTATGGAGTAGTCCAGGCCACACTAGGTTTGTTTGCCCATATGGGTACTATGTGTGAGCACGAGTTGCCCAATAATCTATGGCGCCGCAATTCGCTGTACAGAGTTGCACACGAGGAACCTATCACAAGGGGTTTGAATCATGGTTCGCTCCTAATGATGTTTCTAGGTTGGCAGCACCATACCCATGATCGTGGGTTTTACCAAAGTGGAAAACGTCTTAGATCTACATCACTTCATGCTTTCCTCCCACATTAAGCTGACACTTGATATAACTGGAGTACTGTTAAAACGGCATTAGTCACAACTCACTCACTATATGTGAAGCCCATTCCTAGTGTCCACCATGATACGGCAAGAATATTGCTAAAAGCTGTATAATACTTTATCACTGGAAGTAAATGAATTAGGAGTAGACATACCAGAGTGTGGCGATGGTTTCAAGCCACTATTAGCATTATTCCAGCCACATCACCATTACTGCGTCATACAATTATAACTGATATGGCTAACATTTTGTAGTCCGTAATGATGTAATATATTGTGAAGTGTACCATAAAATAACGTTCCCAACGCACGCAGGCACCCACTCACTGATACACTCACTCACTCACTCACTCACTGATACACTCACTCACTCATTAGCTTTTCAATGCCCTGGCCGCTTCATACCAAGAGCTGTTGGACGATGGTGCTTGTTGTTACTGCTAAGCATTAAGAGGATAAAACAAGAACTGTCCAAATGTGGAATAAGACATAAAAAAGAATTCTCCTCTAAGCCTGCTGATTACTCAACATTAAGATTTTTCATGATGTCAAATACTGGTTTGCCTGGTGCAGACTCATTTATGTACAGGCCACAGTCATTTAGCTGGAATACAAGATAGCGTGGCCATTCACAACAAACAAACAAATAATGGATGTCTTCCAAATTCAGGCACTACATATGAGAAGGATGGAACGATAGCATTCTGGGTGCAAAACGCCTTATGTAAGTCCGATCTAACATTCTTTAATTGTATTAAATTCCTAGAAATTGTATGAATGGGTGATCTCAATATGCAAGGTTGGTATAATGCTTAACATTTACCCAAAGGTTTACACTGAAAATAGTTATAATCGGTAACTCAAACTTTTTCATCTAGATTAATCTTTTTGATAGGTTTATGTTCTTGTCAGAAAGGTATGTCATGATGTACTTATTCTCCATTCGTCTGGATGGTCTCCAGTGGACAGCCGTGATTAGCGTAGATCCCCAGCAACCTTTGCACCAGGGGACTTCTTGTATCGGGTGGCCAGCTTTGGCGACTTTATTTTCTTTATTGTGTTTATTGCGTGGCATCGAACTCCAACTATCGTTACTCATAACATCAATCACTCGATTGTCTGTCCCTGACTCAATTATTTACAGGCAACCAAGATATACCTTAACTGATACAGTGGTTATACAACAAACAAACAAACAAACAAACAAACAAACGAGAAACGTCAATTCTTGTGAATAAATGGTCAAAGAGACCAGTTTCACTCAAGGGCACATGTTTGTGATATGCCACCACATTTCCACTGTCTCATCCCACATCTGCCTTGGGTAAGGACAGTGAGGTAGCCTGGTGGGGGAAAGCATTCGCTCTTCATGCCGAGGACTGTGGTTCGATTCCCTACATAGGTACAAAGTGTGAAGCCCATTTCTGGTGTCACCTGCTGGGATATTGCCTTGGGTATGAATGACAACAAAAGACACAGACTTTAGATATTAAGATTTATTTTTCTGAACAGATTATGTTTGTGAAGAGTGAATGAACAAAGGAGAAAGATAAAAGTAAACTTAAGATACTTTGATTTATTTCTCTGACAAAGATTTATATTTTTAAAGCATAAATCAACAGAAAGACGCAATTATATTTTTATTCAACAATTATGATTCCACCTTTATTGATGTTTTGATATTTATAATCATGTTTCTAATTTATTTGACGCAGTTCATGTTTACCGATCTTCAGCTTCTTTATACACTGTATACAAACTACCAGCCTAACTAAACAGTGGCCTCCACCTCCCCTTCTAGCCACGCCTACACCACCTGTACTAACCCTGACTTTAATATACTATGAACGGATACCTTTACTGGTGTTTTAATAATCACAAGGAAAATACATCAAGTAGGCAATTCATATGACACAGTTAATGTTTTAATACCGACCTTCAGCTTATTTACACACTATATACAAACTAACTACTAGCCTAACGAAACAGTGGCCTCCATCTCCCCTTCTAGCCACACCCACACCACATTATATGAATTAACCTTTATTGAAAACTACATCATGTAGGCAATTAATGTTTACCGATCTTCAGCTATTTTACACACTGAATACAAACTACAAACCTAACTAAACAGTGGCCCTGACTATAACATTATATGAATGGATACATTTACTGATGTTTTAACAATCATAAGAAAATACATCATGTAGGCAATTCATCTGACACAGTTAATGTTTACTGATTTTCAGCTTATTTACATACTATATACAAACTACTAACCTAACTAAACAGTGGCCTCCACCTCCCCTTCTAGTCATGCCCACACCACCTGTACTAGCCCTGACTTTAACATTATATCTTATAAGTGGTTGATAGAAAATATATCAGATGTCAAACAGAATTTAGTCTATGATTTTGAGCCCAAATAAATACTGCCATAGTTTTATCTGCACAGATTATGTTTTAATACAAAGTTTGGACTAATGTCCAGTCAGTTCTGGATAATACATGCACTTCATTTTTTAACACTGACTTATTACTACCTGTCTTACTTTTTCATGTACATAGCTTAGCAGATATTCTTTGAGGCAACATTGATTGTATTATTCATATCATTTGGTATCATTAGATCTGATCTTACATGTATCATTAACCAGGTAATGTTAGCTTGAGCAAGGGTCAGGAATGCGAGTTGCCAGTACCTCTGAAAGGGGCAGGAGTAGGGGATATAAGTACTGACAGAACTAAGGACAACAACCACTAGCCAGGCGTGAACCACTGGCTGGAACATCAAAAGGAGATACAACTACTGGCGGCGACAGGAATAGGAGCTACAAAAACTGACAGGGACAGGAATAGGAGCTACAACCACTGGCAGGGACATCAATAGGACCTACAACTACTGACAGGGACAGGAATAGGAGTTACAGACACTGACATGGACAGGAATAGAAGCTACAACTAGTGGCAGGGACAGGAATAGGAGCTACAACTGCTGGAAGGGACAGGAATTGGAGCTACAACTACTGGCAGGGACACCAATAGGAGCTACAACTACTGAGAGGGACAGGAATAGGAGCTACAGCTACTGAGAGGGATAGGAATAGGAGCTACAACTACTGACAGGGACAGGAATAGGAGCTACAGCCACTGACAGGGACAGGAATAGGAGCTACAACTACTGACAGGGACTGGAATAGGAGCTACAGCCACTGACAGGGACTGGAAAAGGAGCTACAACTACTGACAGGGACTGGAATAGGAGCTACAGCCACTGACAGGGACAGGAATAGGAGGTACAACTACTGGCAAGGACAGGAATGGGAGCTACAACGTCTGACAGGGACAGGAACAAGAGCTACAACCACTGGCAGGAACAGGAACAGGAGTTACAACCACTGGCAGGGACAGGAATAGGAGCAACAACTACTGACAGGGACAGGAATAGGAGCTACAACTACTGGCAGGGACAGGAATTGGAGCTACAACTACTGGCAGGGACATCAATAGGAGCTACAACTACTGACAGGGACAGGAATAGGAGCTACAACCACTGACAGGGACGGGAATAGAGGCTACAACTACTTACAGGGACAGGAATAGGAGCTACAACTACTGACAGGGACTGGAATAGGAGCTACAACTACTGACAGGGACAGGAATAGGAGCTACAGCCACTGACAGGGACAGGAATAGGAGCTACAACTACTGACAGGGACAGGAATCGGAGCTACAACTATTTACAGGGACATGAATAGGACCTACAACCACTGACAGGGTCATCAATAGGAGCTACAACTACTGACAGGGACTGGAATAGGAGCTACAACTACTGACAGGGACAGGAACAGGAGCTACAACTACTTATAGGGACAGGAATAGGATCTGCAACCACTGACAGGAATAGGAGCTACAACCACTAGCAGGGACAGGAATAGGATCTGCAACCACTGACAGGAATAGGAGCTACAACCACTTGTAGGGACAGGGAAAGGAGACACAACCAAGGAAGGAATTAGAGTAGGGGCTAGAATCAGGCTGGAACACAAGTGGGAAATGTTTAATGACAGTGATAAGGAATAGGGCTATAAGTGATTACAAACTTGAATAGTAACTTACAATGAAGCAATAACAGCGGAAGGACACAACTATTTTAAATATGGATATAATATAGAAAGGACAATAAAATATAGTGTGTCTAGAATAATAGCAGAATTTAAAGACATTTCTACTCCGAGTAAAACATGAAAAGTGTTTCCTAAAATAGATGCTTCAGACATACATTACATCTGACTATGTACATCTGACTATACCTACCATACCTACAGCCTGGCCCTCTTACAAACCTTCACCTCTACCTCATCATCCTCATCTCTCTTTCTCTTCCTGTCCACCATCTTGTTCAGGGGTCCAGGTCTCCTGCTAGGGACTGGAAGTGGCACTCCTTGGTGGCTTAGGCTGGTCAGACTGCAGGACACATCACACTGGCTCAGGTTGGTGAAGCTGCTCACTGGGCTGACAGGGAGAGATGTGGTGCTTGAGGTCAGTCTTGGTCCATACTGAAAAGGGTCAGAGATGTTACAGAGCCAGAAGTCTTTGTAAACTGTAGCTGAGATGGTGATGCCGTCTGGGAAACCTGACATGACTGATTCCAGGGATCTGCTAGGTTTGGGCCCATAGTTCAAGCAGGTGGTGCTGGAAGATGGGGAGGGAAGAAGATCATTGTGGAATTCCTCAGAATTCTTGAAAAGGGTAGAAGAGCTGGGGAAGGGGTCAGTAAGACTGATGGAACTCAGGCTGGTCAGGCTGGAGCTGGTGCTGGCTGGGAGAGACTCATCACTTGGACTGACAGGCCAGATATCTGAAGTGGCTGATAGAAATGTTGATGTTAGATCAGGGGTGTCAAAGAATGAAGTAAATCTGGGACATTCTGGATAAAGGAAGGAGTCATGGTTTTCTTGTAACTTGCCGATGGGGCTGTTGGGGGTGTTACTGCAAAATATGGATGATCTAGGGGTAGGGTTAGTGGGGCTGATGGACCTTCTTGTGGCGAGTGAGGGGATGACAGCATCAGTCCAAGTTGTGTGGGGGTAGAGACAGGTACAGCGAGGCTGAAAGTCATCCAGGCTCACCCAACTCTCATTGGGACACAACATCTTGTGGTCCTGAAGTGTGTTAAAGATTAATTTTATTTTAAGCAAGTACATTTTACATGAAAAATCAAGAGACATGTACCGTATTTAAAAATATTAGGCTTTTAATGTAATTGGTTTATTTTAAAAGAAACTTCAAGTGATGTGTTATTGTCTACGCATTTGAAGTTTCAAGAAGTGCAATGTCTTATACTAATGCCTAAATCACTTGAATTACCTTCACAGTTGAACTCTCTTGCACCAACTCAAGTTTATACTAGAGTACTCAACTCCAGACTCAAGTCTCACAAGAGAAATCTGTGAAATAAAACACATGCATGTATGAACATGTGACTGTGTGAAATAAATTAAACAATGAATGACTGGATGATTTTTCAGTAACTGATTTATTCCAACCTCAAACCTGTTAAAAAGGGCCTCATTCTCACATTAAGCGTTTGTCACTATAATGCCAAGGTAGCTCCAGCACTGATGCACTAACCGGGCCTTGTGTTAATAAATAGTATTAAATACATGACAAAACATGAGATGGCAGGCTAGATTAAAAGCCATGTGAATGACCAAATTAAAACCCGAATCTGGCCTTTCATTAATTAATTACTGATATGACATAGGACAGTCGGCCAACCAAATGGAATGGGGAAGACATACACTGGCGCTACAAAGATAGATGTAGGGCCAAGTATCGCTGTCAACATGCTGTAACAGATCAATTACAAAAGAACCGTCAAAATACATGTTATCCAACTAGAAGCCCTGGACTTTTCTTATGTGCAATCGGGATTACTAAATGTCTGTTTTGATTACTGCATGTTTAGCCCCTAGATTCATATTTCTATCATGTAGATTCAAACATCCAGCTATAGGCCTAGAGATGATGTCACAACCCCATTCGGCCTGTTGGCCTGTGTCTTACGGTAAAAATGTATGTAGAAGTTTACATTACATGGACATTTCGTCATTACAATGTACAGTTCTGGTGGGTCAAGAAAGGACATTTTGGTTGTTGTCAAGGATGACTTGTTACGTTTATATTGACAACAAAAGTGAATCTGGGAGCATTGGAGCAACAGAAAACTGTATCTATACAGGGATTACGTTTAGTTACCTTACTGCAGTAAGAAGAAAGTACAGGAACTCAAATATATCGACTAAACTTTCAAAATAGCAGAGGTGTGATAGCAATGATACGCTTCGGTAAACGAATATTCGTAAGAGCCGGGCTTGAACTTGGCAACCGTTACCCTAGCAACACCGGAACTGACATTTATTTTTTAAGATATATCTTAAGTGAATGAATGAAATATTCACAATTACAACAAAGTGAAATTCCGCGAAAATACAAATGTAAAATATAGAAAACTTACCTTTTCCTAAATATAATTCCTCAAAGGGAGCCTACTCTGAAAGTTATAAAAAGTTATCTCCCTTTGCAAAACCGCTAAAAATTAAATACACGATTAGCTATATAAAACCAAGAAACTATATTTAGAGCTTAATGTTTCGAAAGTCAGTGTTACCACGAAAATGGGCTCCATTTGGCTTGTCCGTTCTCACACCCCTAAAATGTACTTACATGTAATAGTGGTACTTTATTTTAAGTCACGCAATAATATGATTATTACCTTCCTATGTGTAGATAAGACAAGTATTTATCTCCAAATGAAAAACTTAATAAATACAACAAATACAAATAAATGATCTTTCAAGGGTACACACTACATTGTTATTTGGTTATTACGTCAGATTTTTCTCATGATTGATGAAAATCTGAACATCTTTAATATATTTTCATGAAAGATTGTGCAACATTGCTGATGCATATATACGAGAATAGTTATGTAAGTGACGATGTGAAAAGTCTTGAAATATCTATCTATACGTCTATAGGCTATTGAAAATAGGATGAGATTTACAATGACATCAAATGTGGACTAATTACACAAATAGGACATCGCCCATTATGAGTCCCCTACTTAAAATACATCCCTACTTTTACACTTTCACATAGTCTGTCTCCCAGACCCCAGACAATAAATTTTAAAAAGTCCAACTTAAGTACAGAATGATTTGACAAGTCTACATTGCCTCAGCTACGTTTACCTGATTTCTTAAAGGTAAAAGTTCAAAGGTTTATCTAATGGCTTTAAATATGAACATTGTCAGTCTCCCAGACCCTAGAGAATAAATTTAAAAACACCTCAAGTACAGAATGATTTTATATTTCCCCTGCTTTGTTTACCCGATTTTTCTCTCGACAAAGGTCTATCTAATGATGTTATAATATGAAAATTGTTATAGGTAACCAAATGTAGCGCAACATTATATACATTTGATGCTTTTTAGATTTAAAGATTATGCAAATATTTGAAAATATTTAAAAGTTAATTTCAGACAGTACTGCCATGTGCCGCCGTAGCTCAGGTCGACAATTAGACGTCCTCAAATCAAATAGTGCAGGTTCGAGCCAGGCTGGCGACACATTTTTTCCGACAAAAAAAGTAGTTCTGTTTATTCCAAGAGTAAATCAATTGAAACGTTGGTTCATGATAATGTATAATTGACAACCAACTCTCTTTTCCTAAAAAATAATGTAGCGTTTAAACAATAGAATGTCGTCACAAGTGTGTTTTAATTAGTTTGTAGGACGCGAATAAAAGTGCACTTTAAACTGACACGAAGTTGTAAAAATGATTATAGTTTGTTGTTTAACGCCGCACTCAGCAATATTACAGCTAAATGACGGCGGTCTGTACATAATCGAGACTGGACCAGAAAATCCAGTAATTGACATCATGAGCGTCATTCGGCGCAATTGGGATACGATGACATGCATCAACCAAGTCAGGGAGCCTGACCACCCGATCCCGTTAGTCGCCTTTTAAAACAGCAAGCATGGGTTGCTGAAGAACTATTCTATCCCGGATCTTCACGGGTTTCAAAGTGGTGTTAAACCTCCCTCTCACTCACTCACTGTAACTTAGCCCATGCTTCAGAACGACTTAATTAGACCACAATACCTGACATATTGTTTCCCTGGATTTCTTTGGATCAAAAGAAAGCGCGATTGTAACAAAATGAAAAAAAATAACGCATCGGAGTGTTAAAGGAATTGCAATTACAGTGTAGATACAATTCTTTCGCCAGAGGTAGTTTTGCCAACTGGAGCCAACTGTATAATTCCTCCAAGTCGAGTTAACTAAGAGTTTGCTTTCCGTCAGGTTGTCCAGGTTGAGGTGATCAACTCATCGACTCACTCGCATCAAGGTCACAGTTCACACAACTTGACCTTGACCTCCAATACAGCACACCATCCAACAGATCAAGTTGTCAGTCTGGGATCAGGGATGCCTGGATTTCGCAACAGTCGGGATGCCGAGTTTCAGCCAGGAGACTCAGGGGACCTAGTGCCAAGACTCCCTTAGTAATAATAGTCGTACTGCTATACTCCTTTGTGGACCTTCTGGATGCCTGCAAAGATGGGGATCTGTGGTCAGGCTATGTGATCCTTGTTCTTGCTTTCCGAAACTAGTTTGCCTGCTCCAGACTTGTTTATTTACACGACATGGCTGGAATATTGTGGACGAGCGCAGATATTTGTGAGCTGGGCCCATGTGCAATGAGCAGGAAGGCTAGCACTGGAGTCATCTTGGCAAGCATGGAGACGACTGAGGCAATGTAGCGGCTCTGGGAGTCCCACCATGCTGGTCAGGGCTAGCTAGTGGTTTTAGACTTCTCTCGTCATATTGCTGGAATATTTTTAAAAGCGGCGTAAAACCATACTCACCACACTCATCCACCATGCTGGTCAGGGCGGTGGGGTAGTCTAGTGGTTAAAGCGTTCACTCGTCACGCCCCGCCCCGCTGTCATATTGCTAAAAGCGGCATAAAACTATTCTCACATCACTCATTCACCATGCTTGTCATGTTTTCGTGCCAGATTTATTCTGGTTGTTTTACGGTCAAATCATATCCATGTAGGATGTATGTTGTTAAATGGCCGAGTGTTGTGATGTTTCTACACTTCAATATGTATGAAGTTAGTTTTATCAGACCATCTAATATGTCCAGTTGTGTTTGAAGTGTTTAGAATCATAATGCAGCCAAGGGAATACCACACCAGATGTTATCCTGTAATCTTGACAGAATGCACTATTGTATGATTAATGTAAACTGGTAAACAATGAAATATTCTCAATGAATGTGTTGTTTTTTTCAGTCATGGAGCATTGACTTCATATCTTTTGTACAGTACACGTCTTACTGTGATCTACGTACACAGTGTTGTTATTTAATTGAGTGCAGCTATATACTGTAATCAATAATATTACAGCATATTTATCATGGCAGCATGGTTGTATTTGAGGGACTATGGAGTAGTCCAGGCCACACTAGGTTTGTTTGCCCATATGGGTACTATGTGTGAGCACGAGTAGCCCAATCGTCTATGGCGCCGCAATTCGCTGTACAGAGTTGCACACGAGGAACCTATCACAAGGGGTTTGAATCATGGTTCGCTCCTAATGATATGTTTCTAGGTTGGCAGCACCATACCCATGATCGTGGGTTTTACCAAAGTGGAAAACGTCTTAGATCTACATCACTTCAGGCTTTCCTCCCACATTAAGCTGACACTTGATATAATTGGAGTACTGTTAAAACGGCATTAGTCACAACTCACTCACTATCTGTGAAGCCCATTCCTAGTGTCCACCATATGACAGGAATATTGCTAAAAGCTGTATAATACTTTATCACTGGAAGTAAATGAATTAGGAGTAGACATACCAGAGTGTGGCGATGGTTTCAAGCCACTATTAGCATTATTCCAGCCACATCACCATTACTGCTTCATGCAATTATAACTGATATGGCTAACCTTTTGTAGTCCGTTATGATGTAATATATTGTGAAGTGTACCATAAAATAACGTTCCCCACGCACGCAGGCACTCATTCACTCACTCACTCACTCACTGATACACTCACTCACTCATTAGTGTTTCAATGCCCTGGCCGCTTCATACCAAGAGCTGTTGGACGATGGTGCTTGTTGTTACTGCTCAGCATTAAAGGGATAAAACAAGAACTGGCCAAATGTGGAATAAGACCCAAAAAAGAATTCTCCTCTAAGCCTGCTGATTACTCAACATAAAGATTTTTCATGATGTCAAATACTGGTTTGCCTGGTGCAGACTCAATTATTTACAGGCCACAGTCATTTAGCTGGAATACAACATTGCGTGGCCATTAACAACAAACAAACAAATAATTGATGCCTTCCAAATTCAGGCACTACATATGAGAAGGATGGAACGATAGCATTCTGGGTGCAAAACGCCTTATGTAAGTCCGATCTAACATTCTTTAATTGTATTAAATTCCTAGAAATTGTCTGAATGGGTGATCTCAATATGCAAGGTTGGTATAATGCTTAGCATGTACAGCAAAGGTTTACACTGAAAATAGTTATAATCGGTAACTCAAACTTTTTCATCTAGATTAATCTTTTTGATAGGTTTATGTTCTTGTCAGAAAGGTATGTCATGATGTACTTATTCTCCATTCGTCTGGATGGTCTCTAGTGGACAGCCGTGATTAGCGTAGATCCCCAGCAACCTTTGCACCAGGGGACTTCTTGTATCAGGTGGCCAGCTTCAGTGACTTTATTTTCTTTATTGTGTTTATTGCGTGGCATCGAACTCCAACTATCGTTACTCATAACATCAATCACTCGATTGTCTGTCGCTGACCCAATTATTTACAGGCAACCAAGATATACCTTAACTGATACAGTGGCTATACAACAAACAAACAAACAAACAAACAAACAAACGAGAAACGTCAGTTCTTGTGAATAAATGGTCAAAGAGACCAGTTTCACTCCAGAGCACATGTTTGTGATATGCCACCACATTTCCACTGTCTCATCCCACATCTGCCTTGGATAAGGACAGTGAGGTAGCCTGGTGGGGGAAAGCATTCGCTCTTCATGCCGAGGACTGTGGTTCGATTCCCTACATAGGTACAAAGTGTGAAGCCCATTTCTGGTGTCACCTGCTGGGATATTGCCTTGGGTATGAATGACAACAAAAGACACAGACTTTAGATATTAAGATTTATTTTTCTGAACAGATTATGTTTGTGAAGAGTGAATGAACAAAGGAGAAAGATAAAAGTAAACTTAAGATACTTTGATTTTTTTCTCTGAAACAGATTTATATTTTTAAAGCATAAATCAACAGAAAGACGCAAATATATTTTTATTCAACAATTATGATTCCACCTTTATTGATGTTTTGATTTTATAATCATGTTTCTAATTTATTTGACGCAGTTCATGTTTACCGATCTTCAGCTTCTTTATACACTGTATACAAACTACCAGCCTAACTAAACAGTGGCCTCCACCTCCCCTTCTAGCCACGCCTACACCACCTGTACTAACCCTGACTTTAATATACTATGAACGGATACCTTTACTGGTGTTTTAACAATCATAAGAAAATACATCAAGTAGGCAATTCATATGACACAGTTAATGTTTTAATACCGACCTTCAGCTTATTTACACACTATATACAAACTAACTACTAGCCTAACTAAACAGTGGCCTCCACCTCCTCTTCTAGCCACACCCACACCACATTATATGAAAACTACATCATATAGGCAATTAATGTTTACCGATCTTCAGCTATTTTACACACTGTATACAAACTACTAGCCTAACTAAACAGGGGCCCTGACTATAACATTATATGAATGGATACATTTACTGATGTTTTAACAATCATAAGAAAATACATCATGTAGGCAATTCATCTGAGACAGTTAATGTTTACTGATTTTCAGCTTATTTACACACTATATACAAACTACTAACCTAACTAAACAGTGGCCTCCACCTCCCCTTCTAGCCACGCCCACACCACCTGTACTAGCCCTGACTTTAACATTATATCTTATAAGTGGTTGATAGAAAATATATCAGATGTCAAACAGAATTTAGTCTATGATTTTGAGCCCAAATAAATATTGCCATAGTTTTATCTGCACAGATTATGTTTTAATACAAAGTTTGGACTAATGTCCAGTCAGTTCTGGATAATACATGCACTTCATTTTTTAACACTGACTTATTACTACCTGTCTTACTTTTTCATGTACATAGCTTACCAGATATTCTTTGAGGCAACATTGATTGTACTATTCATATCATTTGGTATCATTAGATCTGAGCTTACATGTATCATTAACCAGGTAATGTTAGCTTGAGCAAGGGTCAGGAATGCAAGTTGCCAGTACCTCTGAAAGGGGCAGGAGTAGGGGATATACGTACTGACAGAACTAAGGACGACAACCACTAGCCAGGCGTGAACCACTGGCTGGAACATCAATAGGAGCTACAACTACTGACAGGGACAGGAATAGGAGTTACAGACACTGACATGGACAGGAATAGGAACTACAACTACTGGCAGGGACAGGAATAGGAGCTACAACTAGTGGCAGGGACAGGAATAGGAGCTACAACTACTGGCAGGGACAAGAATTGGAGCTACAACTACTGGCAGGGACATCAATAGGAGCTACAACTACTGACAGGGACAGGAATAGGAGCTACAACTACTGACAGGGACAGGAATAGGGGCTACAACTACTTACAGGGACAGGAATAGGAGCTACAACTACTGACAGGGACTGGAATAGGAGCTACAGCTACTGACAGGGACAGGAATAGGAGCTACAACTACTGACAGGGACTGGAATAGGAGCTACAGCCACTGACAGGGACAGGAATAGGAGCTACAACTACTGACAGGGACTGGAATAGGAGCTACAGCCACTGACAGGGACAGGAATAGGAGGTACAACTACTGGCAAGGACAGGAATGGGAGCTACAACGTCTGACAGGGACAGGAACAACAGCTACAACCACTGGCACAGACAGGAACAGGAGTTACAACCACTGGCAGGGACAGGAATAGGAGCTACAACTACTGGCAGGGACAGGAATAGGAGCTACAACTACTGGCAGGGGCAGGAATTGGAGCTACAACTACTGGCAGGGACATCAATAGGAGCTACAACTACTGACAGGGACAGGAATAGGGGCTACAACTACTAACAGGGACAGGAATAGGAGCTACAACTACTGACAGGGACTGGAATAGGAGCTACAGCTACTGACAGGGACAGGAATAGGAGCTACAACTACTGACAGGGACTGGAATAGGAGCTACAGCCACTGACAGGGACAGGAATAGGAGCTACAACTACTGACAGGGACTGGAATAGGAGCTATAGCCACTGACAGGGACAGGAATAGGAGGTACAACTACTGGCAAGGACAGGAATGGGAGCTACAACGTCTGACAGGGACAGGAACAACAGCTACAACCACTGGCACAGACAGGAAGAGGAGTTACAACCACTGGCAGGGACAGGAATAGGAGCTACAACTACTGGCAGGGACAGGAATATGAGCTACAACTACTGGCAGGGGCAGGAATTGGAGCTACAACTACTGGCAGGGACATCAATAGGAGCTACAACTACTGACAGGGACAGGAATAGAGGCTACAACTACTTACAGGGACAGGAATAGGAGCTACAACTACTGGCAGGGACTGGAATAGGAGCTACAACTACTGACAGGGACAGGAATAGGAGCTACAACTACTTACAGGGACAGGAATAGGAGCTACAACTACTGACAGGGACAGGAATCGGAGCTACAACTACTGACAGGAACAGGAATAGGAGCTACAACTACTGACAGGGACATGAATTGGAGCTACAACCACTGGCAGGGACCGTCACAAGAGCTGCAACTACTGACAGGGACAGGAGCAGGAGGTACAACCACTAGCAGGGACAGGAATAGGATCTGCAACCACTGGCAGGAATAGGAGCTACAACCACTTGTAGGGACAGGGAAAGGAGACACAACCAAGGAAGGAATTAGAGTAGGGCCCAGAATCAGGCTGGAACACAAGTGGAAAATGTTTAATGACAGTGATAAGGAATAGGGCTATAAGTGATTACAAACTGGTATAGTAACTTACAATGAAGCAATAACAGCGGAAGGACACAACTATTTTAAATATGGATATAATATAGATAGGACAATAAAATATAGTGTGACTAGAATAATAGCAGAATTTAAAAACATTTCTACTCCGAGTAAAACATGAAACAGTGTTGTCTAAAATAGATGCTTCAGACATACATTAACAATGTACATCTGACTATACCTACCATACCTACAGCCTGGCCCTCTTACAAACCTTCACCTCTACCTCATCATCCTCATCTCTCTTTCTCTTCCTGTCCACCATCTTGTTCAGGGGTCCAGGTCTCCTGCTAGGGACTGGACGTGGCACTCCTTGGTGGCTTAGGCTGGTCAGACTGCAGGACACATCACACTGGCTCAGGTTGGTGAAGCTGCTCACTGGGCTGACAGGGAGAGATGTGGTGCTTGAGGTCAGTCTTGGTCCATACTGAACAGGGTCAGAGATGTTACAGAGCCAGAAGTCTTTGTAAACTGTAGCTGAGATGGTGATGCCGTCTGGGAAACCTGACATGACTGATTCCATGGATCTGCTAGGTTTGGGCCCATAGTTCAAGCAGGTGGTGCTGGAAGATGGGGAGGGAAGAAGATCATTGTGGAATTCCTCAGAATTCTTGAAAAGGGTAGAAGAGCTGGGGAAGGGGTCAGTAAGACTGATGGAACTCAGGCTGGTCAGACTGGAGCTGGTGCTGGCTGGGAGAGACTCATCACTTGGACTGACAGGCCAGATATCTGAAGTGGCTGATAGAAATGTTGATGTTAGATCAGGGGTGTCAAAGAATGAAGTAAATCTGGGACATTCTGGATAAAGGAAGGAGTCATGGTTTTCTTGTAACTTGCCGATGGGGCTGTTGGGGGTGTTACTGCAAAACATGGATGATCTAGGGGTAGGGTTAGTGGGGCTGATGGACCTTCTTGTGGCAATGGAGGGGATGACAGCATCAGTCCAAGTTGTGTGGGGGTAGAGACAGGTACAGCGAGGCTGAAAGTCATCCAGGCTCACCCAACTCTCATTGGGACACAACATCTTGTGGTCCTGAAGTGTGTTAATGATTAATTTGATTAATTGTAAGTACATTTTACATGAAAAATCAAGAGACATGTATTTAAAGATAATACGCTTTTAATGTAATTGGTTTATTTTAAAAGAAACTTCAAGTGATGTGTTATTGTCTACACATTTGAAATTTCAAGAAGGGCAATGTCTAATACTAATGCCTAAACCACTTGAATTACCTTCACAGTTGAACTCTCTTGCACCAACTCAAGTTTATACTAGAGTACTCAACTCCAGACTCAAGTCTCACAAGAGAAATCTGTAAAATACATGCATGTATGAACATGTGACTGTGTGAAATAAATTAATGAGTGAATGACTGAATGATTTTTCAGTAACTGTTTTATTCCAACCTCAAACCTTTTAAAAGGGCCTCATTCTCACATTAGGTGTTTGTCACTATAATGCCAAGGTAGCTCCAGCACTGATGCACTAACCGGGCCTTGTGTTAATAAATAGTATTAAATACATGACAAAACATGAGATGGCAGGCTAGATAAAAAGCCATGTGAATGACCAAATTAAAACCCGAATCTAGCCTTTTATTAATTAATTACTGATATGACATAGGACAGTCGGCCAACCAAATGGAATGGGGAAGACATACACTGGTGCTACAAAGATAGATGTAGGGCCAAGTATCGCTGTCAACATTGTTGTAACATGTTACAAAAGAACCGTCAAAATACATGTTATCTAGCTAGAAGCCCTGGGCTTTTCTTATGTGCAGTCGGGATTACTAATTGTCTGTTTTGAATACTGCATGTTTAGCCCCAAGATTCATATTTCTATCATGTAGATTCAAACATCCGGGTATAGGCCTAGAGATGATGTCACCACCCCATTCGGCCTGTTGGCCTGTGTCTTACGGTAAAAATGTATGTAGAAGTTAACAGTACATGGACATTCAGTCATTACAATGTACAGTTCTGGTGGGTCAAGAAAGGACATTTTGGTTGTTGTCAAGGATGACATGTTACGTTTAAATTGACAACAAAAGTAAATCTGGGAGCATTGGAGAAACAGAAAACTATATCTATACAGGAAATACGTTTAATTACCTTACTGTGGTAAGAAGAAAGTACAGGAACTCAAATATATCGACTAAACTTTCAAAATAGCAGAGGTGTGATAGCAATGATACGCTTCGGTAAACGAAGATTCGTAAGAGCCGGGCTTGAACTTGGCAACCGTTACCCTAGCAACACCGGAACTGACATTTATTTTTAAAAATATATATTAAGTGAATGAAGGAAATATTCAGAATAACAACAAAGTGAAATTCCCCGAAAATACAAATGTCAAATATAGAAAACTTACCCTTTCCTAAATATAATTCCTAAAAGGGAGCCTACTCTGAAAGTTATAAAAAGTTATCTCCCTTTGCAAAACCGCTAAAAAATAAATACACGATTAGCTATATAAAACCAAGAAACTATATTTAGAGCTAAATGTTTCGAAAGTCAGTGTTACCAAGAAAATGGGCTCCATTTGGCTTGTCTGTTCTCACACCCCTAAAATGTACTTACATGTAATAGTGGTACTTTATTTTAGGTCACGCAATAATATGATTATTACCTTCCTATGTGTAGATAAGACAAGTATTTATCTCCAAATGAAAAACTTAATAAATACAACAAATACAAATAAATGATCTTTCAAGGGTACACACTACATTGTTATTTGGTTATTACGTCAGATTTTTCTCATGATTGATGAAAATCTGAACATCTTTAATATATTTTCATGAAAGATTGTGCAACATTGCTGATGCATATAAGAGAATAGTTATGTAAGTGACGTTGTGCAAAGACTTGAAATATCTATCTATACGTCTATGGTCTATTGAAAATAGGATGAGATGTACAATGACATCAAATGTGGACTAATTACACAAATAGGACATCGCCCATTATGAGTCCCCTACTTAAAATACATCCCTACTTTTACTTTTTAAGTGCGGGAATTATTTTATATTGCCCCAGCTATGTTTACCTGATTTTTCTCTCGACAAAGGTCTATCTAATGACGTTATAATATGAAAATTGTTATAGGTAACCAAATGTAGCGCAACATTATACACATTTGATGCTTTTAGATTTAAAGATTATGCAAATATTTGAAAATATTTAAAAGTTAATTTCAGACAGTACTGCCATGTGCAAATCAAATAGTGCAGGTTCGAACCCGGCTGGCGACACATGTTTTCCGACAAAAAAAGTAGTTCTGTCTATTCCAAGAGTAAATCAATTGAAACGTTGGTTCATGATAATGTATAATTGACAACCAACTCTCTTTTCCTAAAAAATAATGGAGCGTTTAAACAATAGAATGACGTCACAAGTGTGTTTTAATTAGATTGTAGGACGCGAATAAAAGTGCACTTTAAACTGACACGAAGTTGTAAAAATGATTATAGTTTGTTGTTTAAAGCCGCACTCAGCAATATTACAGCTAAATGACGGCGGTCTGTACATAATCGAGACTGGACCAGAAAATCCAGTAATTGACATCTTGAGCGTCATTCGGCGCAATTGGGATACGATGACATGCATCAACCAAGTCAGGGAGCCTGACCACCCGATCCTGTTAGTCGCTTTTTTAAAACGGCAAGCATGGGTTGCTGAAGAACTATTCTATCCCGGATCTTCACGGGTTTCAAAGTGGTTTTAAACCTCCCTCTCACTCACTCACTGTAACTTAGCCCATGCTTCAGAACGACTTAATTAGACCACAATACCTGACATATTGATTCCCTGGATTTCTTTGGATCAAAAGTAAGTGCGATTGTAACAAAATGAACAAAATAACGCATCGCAGTGTTAAAGGAATTGCAATTACAGTGTAGATACAATTCTTTCGCCAGAGGTAGTTTCGTCAACTCGAGCCAACTATATAGTTCCTCCAAGTCGAGTTCACTAAGAGTTTGCTTTCCGTCAGGTTGCACAGGTTGAGGTGCTCACAGACTCACTCGCATCAAGGTCACAGTTCACACAACTTGACCTTGACCTCCAATACAGCACACCATCCAACAGATCAAGTTGTCAGTCTGGGGTCAGGGATGCCTGGATTTCGCAACAGTCAGGATGACGAGTTTCACCGATGAACAAACATGTTCTGTACTATGGTTTACTCTTATGGTTTATGATTTTCTTTGCAGTAAATCAGTTTGCCCTGCTGTATCCGTTCTTATTTCACAAAGCCATCATAGCACCGTGGCTGTAGTAATCCCTCGGTAATAAAAGTCGAACTGCTATATCCCTTTGTGGACCTTGTAAGACCCTGCAAAAATGGGGATCTGTGGTCAGGCTTTGTGATCCTTGATCATGCTTTCCGAAACTAGTTTGCCTGCTCCAGACTTGTTTTTTGTACATGATATGGCTGGAATATTATGGACTACATGGGCGGATACACATGCACCATGCACCGCCTCCGTGGTCTAGTGGTAGAGCATCCGCCCGGAGAGCGGAAGGTCCGGGTTTCGATCCCCGGCCGCGTCATACCAAAAGACGTTAAAAGATGGTACTTGTTGTTACCCTGTCTGGCGCTCGACATTAAAGGGCTAAAACAAGGACTGGTCGGCTCGGAGTCAGTATACTGTGTCTGAGTGGGTTATTCATGTTAAACTGCGGCATGGTATCTCAGTGTGCTAGCACTATAAATCGGCATCAGTCCGGACTAGTACAAGCAGCCACAAACACACGTGCATGCACGTCGCCATATAAGTGCAATAATCTTGGACGCGACGTTGAACCCAATTTCACCTCACCTCACCTCACCATTCACCATGCTGGTCATGTTTTCGTGCCAGATTCATTCTGGTTATACGGTCAAATCATATCCATGTAGGATATATGTTGTTGGGTGGCCGAGTGTTGTGATATTTCTACACTTTGATATGTATCAAGTTATCTTTATCGATCGAAATTCTTGAAACTTCTAGTGTTATTAATTTTGATGACTTGGAAGATAAAAGAAAAGAATTGGAGGAAATTAGGAAACACAAGATGGCTGGAATTGCCATAAGATCTAGAACTAAGTGGATTATGGATGGTGAAAGAGTTAGCAGCTATTTCTGTAACCTTGAGAACAGGAATTTTGTCAGCAAGTCTATGACTCATTTGGAGTTAAACGATGGCACCACATTGCTAAATTCAAGTGACATTATTGCTGAAGCTGCCAATTTCTATGAGAATTTATACAGTAGCAAAGAACACATGGTGCAAGATTGTGATTTGAATACCCTGTTGGACAGAGATTCTCTCCCCTTTTTAAATAAAAGTGATGTGGACGAGATGGAAGATCTATTAACTCTTGATGAGCTGGCAAAAGCTTTGAAAAATATGCAAAATAACAAAAGCCCAGGCTCAGATGGCTTTCCCACTGAATTTTATAAATTCTTTTGGAAAGATATTGGACAATTTTTATTGCGATCATTGAATTGTGGTTTAATATCTGGTGAACTCTCTGTTACCCAGAAACAAGGGGTTATTGTCTGTATTCCAAAGGGGGACAAGCCTAAACGCTTCATAACTAACTGGAGGCCCATATCACTATTGAATGTTTCATATAAGCTGGCATCTTCATGCATAGCAAATAGAATCAAGTCAAGATTGCCATTTATCATTAATGAAGATCAGACTGGCTTTATGACAGGTCGCTACATTGGTGACAATATTCGCTTAATCTATGATGCCATCTCATGCACAGAAAAATCAAACATTCCTGGTATGCTTCTTCTTATAGGCTTTGAGAAGGCATTTGATTCCATTGCTTGGTCATTTATAGACAAATCTTTATCCTTTTGGGGATTTGGTGAAAATTTAAGAAAATATATATCGGTATTTTACAATGATATAAAAAGCTGTATGTCCATCAATGGTCAGTTGTCATCTTGGTTTAATATCAGACGCGGTTGCCGACAGGGTGACCCATTGTCACCGTATATATTTATTCTCTGTGCAGAAATACTAGCCAATATGATCCGCTCTAATAGAGATGTCAAAGGTATCCTGGTGGACGGTAGTGAGTATCTTCTTAGTCAGTATGCTGATGATATGGAAATATTACTTGATGGTAGTCAGTCCTCCTTTGTATCATGTATTAACTCTCTTGATTGTTTTGCCAAAATATCTGGTCTTAAGATTAACTATAATAAAACTCAAGTTATCTGGCTTGGCTCCAAGAGAGGTTGTAAGGAAAAGTTCAAAGATGATTTGCCTGTTGGTTGGAATCCAGAAGAGTTTAGAATTCTAGGAGTCAAATTTTGCACAAATCTGAAAAAAATGGTTCAGTTGAACTTTAAAGACAAATTATTTGAGTTAAAACAGATTATGAATAGGTGGATGAAACGGATAGTTACACCAATTGGTAGGGTGGCAATCATTAAATCCTTGTTGATTTCAAAACTCAATTATCTATTGTTATCACTGCCTGATCCCCCAAATGATTTTCTTGTAACTTTAAATGCTATGCTTTTTAAATTTCTTTGGAGTGATAAACGAGACAAAGTAAAGAGGATTAAAGTTTGTCAACCTGTTAAGCAAGGGGGCTTAGGTATGGTGAATATCTTTTCATATGTAACATCTCTTAAGGCCACATGGATAAGGAGACTTGTGTCCTCAGGTGATTCAAAATGGAAGCACCTATTTAAATCTACATATCCTTATTTGTGTAAACTTGGTGAGTTTGGTGTGACGTTTTTTGAAAGAAAATTATTTTTGATAAGTAATGAGTTTTGGAAAAGTTGTTTTCAGTCATTTATAGTGCTTGATAAGAAAATCAAGCCAGAATCTTTCAGTAGTTTTTTAACTGAACCAATTTTTTATAACCCTAATATTAAAATTAATAGGAAATCATTTTTCTTGAAATGCTGGTTTGAGAAGGGCATCTCCCAAATTATAGACTTGGTCAAGGCCAATAAGGAGTTTCTGTCATATGAGGAATTTAATGATATGTATGGTATTTGTTCATCCTATTTGGAGTTTTATGGTGTTGTTAGCAGCGTTAAACAATACCTTGGAGCTCTAAAGTTAGTTAGAGTTCCAACTGATTCTGTGGAGGATCAGCGCTGTGTGGTAAAAACTATTTGTAGTTCCAAGTCCGGTTCAAAACATATTTATTTTTCATTGGTTTCTAGAGAAGTGAAAACTAAAGGGCAGGAAAAGTGGGAATTACAATTTGAAAACTTAAATTGGAACAATATTTATAATAAAATTTTCAGTACTAGACAGGATGTCAAACTGCGATGGTTTCAATACAAAATTACCCACAGAATTCTCACCACTAATACTTTTCTGTATTTACGCAATTATGCTCAGAATGATTTGTGCTCCTTCTGTCACAATGAAAAGGAAACAATTACTCACTTGTTTTGGGAATGTGATGTAATAAAACAATTTTGGGATGAAGTGTCATTGTGGATCGACCAGTGCTTTCATGTTTATAATATGACATTTTGTGCAGAATTGATACTTTTTGGAGTTAAAGAGAACATAAAAACAGATAAAGTGTTTGATTTACTTTTACTAATTGCAAAATACTATATTTATAGATGCAAATTCCAAAATACAAAACCTTATTTTCATGTTTATAAAAAGGAAGCTTTTTCACGATACAACATTGAAAAAGATATTGCTTTAAAGACAGGTAATCAACAGAAATTCTATGGTGCTTGGATGCTGTATCATCAACTTTTCGAAAATGAGGAGCAGCTTTCAATTTAATTTTAGTTTTGTACTTAAGATTTTAATGTTTGAGACCATGTACTTTCCTAAACTGCAATATGATATATAAACAAGAGTGAATGTGTGAGTGAGAATTATGTTATTTTCTGTATAAAAAACAACAAAGTAAGATGTACTGATAAGTTGTGCTTTATGTCATGGGCTTTCCGCTACCCTGGGCGGAAGCCCATTTATGTAACAGGTGCGTCTTTCTAAAAACAATAAAAGAAAAAAAAAAAAAAAAAAAAAAAAAGAAGTTATCTTTATCAGACCATCCAATATGTCCAGTTGAGTTTGAAGTGTTTAGTGTGGCTATGTTATCACATAGTGTGGACATCCCATCTGATGCAGCCTAGGGTGGAAACTGGACTTTTATAGTCAGTTAACTCACATGCCTCGGGAAGTTGTTGCTGTACATGCTAAGCAACATTGCATATTGAGATCACCCATTCATACAATTTCTAAAAATTTAATACAATTAAGAAATGTTAGATCGGACTTACATAAGGCGTTTTGCACCCAGAATGCTATCGTTCCATCCTTCTCATATGTAGTGCCTGAATTTGGAAGACGTCCATTATTTGTTTGTTTGTTGTTAATGGCCACGCAATGTTGTATTCCAGCTAAATGACTGTGACCTGTAAATAATTGAGTCTGCACCAGGCAAACCAGTATTTGACATCATGAACAATCTTTATGTTGAGTAATCAGCAGGCTTAGAGGAGAATTCTTTTTTTTGTCTTATTCCACATTTGGCCAGTTCTTGTTTTATCCTCTTAATGCTGAGCAGTAACAACAAGCACCATCGTCCAACAGCCCTTGGTTTGAACGGCCAGGGCATTGAAACGCTAATGAGTGAGTGAGTGAGTGAGTGAGTGCCTGCGTGCTTGGGGAATGTTATTTTATGGTACATTTCACAATATATTACATCATTACGGACTACAAAAGGTTAGCCATATCAGTTATAATTGTATGAAGCAGTAATGGTGATGTGGCTGGAATAATGCTAATAGTGGCTTGAAACCATCGCCACACTCTGGTATGTCTACTCCTAATTCATTTACTTCCAGTGATAAAGTATTATACAGCTTTTAGCAATATTCCTGTCATATCATGGTGGACACTAGGAATGGGCTTCACAGATAGTGAGTGAGTTGTGACTAATGCCGTTTTAACAGTACTCCAGTTATATCAAGTGTCAGCTTAAGGTGGGAGGAAAGCCTGAGGTGATGTAGATCTAAGACGTTTTCCACAAACCTGGAAACATATCATTAGGAGCGAACAATGATTCAAACTCTTTTGATAGGTTCCTCGTGTGCAACTCTGTACAGCGGATTGCGGTGCCATAGATGATTGTGCGAGTCGTGCTCACACATAGTACCCATATGGACAAACAAACCGAATATGGCCTGGGCTACAGTTCATAGCTGCAATCAAATAAATAATAACACTGTGTACGTAGATCACAGTAAAACGTGTACTGTACAAAACATATGAAGTGAATGCTCCATTGTTACAAAAACATACAAATTCATTAAGAATATTTCATTGTTTACCATGTTTACATTAATCATACAATTATGCATTCAGTCCAGATTACAGGATAACGTCTGGTGTGGTATTCCCTTGGCTGCATTATGATTCTAAACACTTCAAACACAACTGGACATATTGGATGGTCTGATAAAGATAACTTCAAACATATTGCAGTGTAGAAATATCCCAACACTCGGCCCCCCAACAACATACATCCTACATGGATATGATTTGACCTTATAACAACCAGAATGAACCGGCACGAAAACATGACCAGCATGGTGAATGAGTGATGTGAGAATAGTTTTACGCCGCTTTTAGCAATATTCCAGCAATATGACAGCGGGGCGGGGCGTGACGAGTGAACGCTTTAGCCACTAGACTACCCGACCGCCCTGACCAGCATGGTTGGACTCCCAGGGCCGCTGCATTACCTCAAGTCGTCTCTAAGCATGCCATGATGACTTCAGTGCTAACCAGCTCACCGATATTGAGTGAATGAATGTTGCTTTGCGCTCGTCTACAATATTCCAGCCATGTCATGTAAAAACTACAAGCCTGGTGCTGGCAAACTAGTTTCTGAAAGCAAGAACAAGGATCACATATCAACGGATACAGCAGGGGAAACTGATTTACCGCAAAGAAAATCCATGTACATTGTAACAAACTGAGGGCCAACAAAACATCTTATTCAACAGTATGTATCAACATTTCCGCAGTGACACAAATCTATATCTCAACAAAGTAAACCATAGTAGATAGCAGTTTAGTATATATGGTACACATGGTGTACTTCAGATCAGTTTGTCATGTGATGTGTGGATCAGAAGGTGCCATCAGCTAGAGGCTGATATAAGTCTTTTCATTCATCCTGCGAGTCATTCATCCTGCAACTGCTGCCTGAAACTAAGCATCCTGACTGTTGTGGAATCCAGGCAACCCTGGCCCCAGACTGACAATTTGATCCAGAGGATGGTGTGCTGTATTGGAGGTCAATGTCAAGTTGTGTGAACTGTGACGATGATGCGACTCAGTCTGTGAGTTGAGCACCTCAACCTGTGCAACCTGATGGAAAGCGAACTCTTAGCGAACTCTACATGGAGGCATTTTTAGGAATGGAGTGAGTGAGTGAGTATGGTTCTACGCCGCTTTTAGCAATATTCCAGCAATATCACGTCGGGGGTCACCAGAAATGGGCTTCACACATTGTACCCATGTCGGGAATCAAACCCGGGTCTTCGGCGTGACGAGCGAACGCTTTAACCACTAGGCTACCCGACCGCCCCTTTTAGGAAAGGAGAGTTGGTTGTCAATTATACATTATCTGGCACCAGCGTTTCAGTTGATTTACACTTGGAATAGACAGAGCTATTTTTTGTCGGAAAACATATGTCGCCAGCTGGGTTCAAACCTGCATTATTTGATTTGAGGACGTCCAATTGTCGTCCTGAGCTGCGGCGACACTGACAGACAGTACGGTCTGAAATTAACTTTTAAATATTTTGAAATATTTGCATAATCCTTAAATCTAAAAAAAACATAATATGTCTATAATGTTGCGTTACAGTGGGTTACCTATAACAATGTTCATATTTAAAGCAATTTGATAAACCTTTGACGAGAGAAAAATCATGTCAACATAGCTGAGGCAATGTAGAATCATTCTAGACTTGAGTTGGACTTTTTAAAATTTATTCTCTAGGGTCTGGGAGACTATGTGAAAGTGTGAAAGTAGGGGATGTGTTTTCCGTAGGGGAATGTTCTCGTAACTCTCCTATAAATAATGAGCGATATCCTGTTTGTGTAAGTTGATGCACATTTGATGTCATTGTGTATCTCATCCTATTTTCAATAGCCCATAGACGTATAGATAGATATTTCACCATCTTTGGAAAACGTCTCTTACTTAACTATTAACTTAGATGCATCAGTATTGTTGCACAATCTTTCATGAGAATATATTAAAGATGTTTACATTTACGTCAATAACGAGACAATCCCTGACGAAATAACTAAATAACACTGTAGTGTGTACCCTTACAAGATCATTTAGTCGTTGTTGTTTTTAATGAGGTTTTTCATTTGGAAAAAGGAATGTAATATTATCATATTATTGCGTGACTTAAAATAAAGTATCACTATTACATCTAAGTGCATCTTATAGGTATGAAAACGGACAAGCCAACTGGAGCCTTTTTTCTTGGTAAAACTGACTTTCGAAACATTCTTAACATATAGTTTCTTGGTTTTATATATCTACGCGTTTATTTTATTTTTTAGCGGATTTTGCAAAGGGAGATAACTTTTTATAACTTTCAGAGTAGGCTCCCTTTTAGGAATTATATTTAGGAAAGGGTAAATTTTCTGTATTTTATATTTGTATTTTCGGGGAATTTCACTTTGTTGTTATCCTAAATATTTCGCTCATTCTCTTGGGTTATACCTAAAAAAATAAATGTCAATTCCGGTGTTGCTAGGGTAACGGTTGCCAAGTTCAAGCCCGGCTCTTACGAATCTTCGTTTACCGAAGCGTATCATTGCTATCACACCTGTGCTCTTTTGAAAGTTTCGTCGATATATTTGAGTTCCTGTACTTTCTTCTTACCACAGTAAGGTAATTAAACATATTTCCTGTATAGATATAGTCTTCTGTTGCTCCAATGTTCCCAGATTTACCTTTGTTGTCAATTTAAACGTAACAAGTCATCCTTGACAACAGCCAAAATGTCCTTTCTAGACCAACCAGAACTCCACATTGTAATGACTAAATGTCCATACATCCTTTACCGTAAGACACAGGCCAACAGGCTGTGTGGGTTTATAACACTATCTGTAGGCCTATAAACCTACCCAGATGTTTGAGTCTACATGATAGACATATGAATGAATCTAGGGGCTAAACATGCAGTAACGAAAAGAGACATTTAGGGGCCTAGTAATCCCGGTTTCCAGTTGGATAAAATGTAGTTTGACAGTCCCTATCTTTGTGTATGGGAGGGAAGAATAAAATGTTATTCTTTTCCAATTGACCTGTTACTACATGTTGACAGCAATACTTGGCCCTACAACTGTGTATGTCTTACCCAATTTCTTTTGGTTGGCGGACAGTCCTATGTTAGTAATTAATTTATTAATGAAAGACTAGATTCGGGTTTAAATTTGATTCATCTAGACCTTCCCTGACCAACGCCTAATGTGAGAATGAGGCCCTTTTTAAAAGGTTTGAGGTTGGAATAAATCAATTACTGAAACATACCCAGTGATGAATATGTCACTTTATCATCTCCTTGTACATTAGTGACAATTTTGCACCAGGATAATTTTGTCCCAAATCTCCTTGTTCTTATTGAACATCCGGTCATTTACTGATTAATTTATTTCACAAATTCATTGGAAATACAAGCATACCATTTCATACATGCATGGATTATATTTTACAGATTTCTCTTGTGAGACTTGGTTCTTGAGTTGACTACTCTAGCATAATCTTGAGTTGGCGCAAGAGAGAAAAACTGTGAAGGTAACTCAAGTCATTTAGGCATTAGTATTCAACATTGTCTTTCTTAAAATTTCAAAGGCCTAGACAATATCACATCACTTGAAGTTTCTTTTCTCTTGATTGTGTCTTGTAAAATTTACTTATAATTTATAAACTTTATCTTCAACACACTTCAGAACCACAAGATGTTGTGTCCCAATGAGAGTTGGGTGAGCCTGGATGACTTTCAGCCTCACTGTACCTGTCTCTACCCCCACACAACTTGGACTGATGCTGCCATCCCCTCCATTGCCACAAGAAGGTCCACTAGCCCCACTACCCCTACCCCTAGATCATCCATGTTTGACAGTAACAGCCCCAACAGCCCCAGCGGCAAGTTTCTAGAAAACCATGACTCCCCGCTTTATCCAGAATGTCCCAGATTTACTTCATTCTTTGACACCCCTGATCTAACATCAACATTTCTATCAGCCACTTCAGATATCTGGCCTGTCAGTCCAAGTGATGAGTCTCTCCCAGCCAGCACCAGCTCCAGCCTGACCAGCCTGAGTTCCATCAGTCTTACTGACCCCTTCCCCAGCTCTTCTACCCTTTTCAAGAATTCTGAGGAATTCCACAATGATCTTCTTCCCTCTCCATCTTCCAGCACCACCTGCTTGAACTATGGGCCCAAACCTAGCAGATCCCTGGAATCAGTCATGTCAGGTTTCCCAGGCGGCATCACCATCTCAGCTACAGTTTACAAAGACTTCTGGCTCTGTAACATCGCTGACCCTTTTCAGTATGGACCAAGACTGACCTCAAGCACCACATCTCTCCCTGTCAGCCCAGTGAGCAGCTTCACCAACCTGAGCCAGTGTGATGTGTCCTGCAGTCTGACCAGCCTAAGCCACCAAGGAGTGCCACTTCCAGTCCCTAGCAGGAGACCTGGACCCCTGAACAAGATGGTGGACAGGAAGAGAAAGAGAGATGAGGATGATGAGGTAGAGGTGAAGGTTTGTAAGAGGGCCAGGCTATAGGTATGGTAGGTATAGTCAGATTTACATTGTTAATGTATGTCTGAAGCATCTATTTCAGTAAAATTAATTGCTATATTTTCAGTTTTTTATATTTAGCTTGCTTTGAATGGAAATAACTTTACTTGCTGCTATTATTCTTGTCATTTTGTGTGATATTGTAATACTTGGTCATGCTACGTTTCATCTTTACTTCACTTTTCAAAATAGGTGCATGCTTCCTCTATAATTGCCAATGTGAATGTCACTACTCTAGTTTGTAATAACTAAAGCCCTATAAACTGTGTTCCAATCAGCAATTGCTTCCTCTCATTGTTATTCTTCAGATCACGTCATTAACAGTCCTGCTGTTTCTCCCACTGTTCACAACATAGTGAACCTACATTGTTGTCACTTTCCCTGCCACTGATTCTAACCCTATTCCTGACCCTGATTCTAGCCCCCCTTCATTTATTCATGCCCCTGCCAGTGGTTGTAGCGCCGGATCCTACCTGCCAGTGGTTCTAGTGCCTGATCCTACCCTGCCAGTGGTTCTACCACCTGATCCTGCCCCTGCCAGTGGTTGTAGCGCCAGATCCTACCCTGCCAGTGGTTCTACCACCTGATCCTCCCCCTGCCAGTGGTTCTACCACCTGATCCTGCCCCTGCCAGTGGTTGTAGCGCCGGATCCTACCCTGCCAGTGGTTCTACCACCTGATCCTGCCCCTATCAGTGGTTCTAGTGCCTGATCCTTCCCCTGTCAGTGGTTCTAGTGCCTGATCCTTCCCCTGCCAGTGGTTCTAGTGCCTGATCCTTCCCCTGTCAGTGGTTCTAGCGCCTGATCCTGCCACTACCAGTGGCTCTAGCAGCTCCTGACCCTAGTTCTAGCTCCTATTACCATGGTTACCTTGTTAATGATACACATGATAAAACATGTACGCTAAATGGTACTAAATGATAAGAATAATACAATCAACAATGCTTAATAATCTCATATCTGGTGAGGTGAATCTGGCATTTGCTTCAGGCCAGAAGATTCGTCCAGTACTATATGTGCAGGTAACAGATAGGTAAATACAGATAGTAATAAATCAGTGTTAAAAAATAAAGTACACAATATGTTGTTCAAAACTGACTGGTTGGAAATAAGTAAAAAAGGCTCAAATAAATAAAAAAAGGCTCACGTTTCATTTGTCTCAAATTCATAGACCAATTTCTGAATCAGATATAATTATCTATCATCCACTTATAAGATATAATGTTAAAGTCAGGGCTAGTACAGGTGGTGTAGGCGTGGCTAGAAGGGGAGGTGGAGGCCACTGTTTAGTAAGGCTAGTGGTTTGTAAACAGTGTGTAAATAAGCTGAAGATCGGTAAACATTAAAATGAATTGCCTACATGATGTATTTTCTTATGATTATTAAAACATCAGTAAAGGTATTTCTTCAAATTATGTTAAAGTCAGGACTAGTACAGGAGGTGTAGGCGTGGCTAGAAGGGGAGGTGGAGGCCACTGTTTAGTTAGGCTAGTAGTTTGTAAACAGTGTGTAAATAAGCTGAAGATCAGTTAACATTAAAATGAATTGCCTCCTCTTATGATTATTAAAACACCACTAAAGGTTAATTCGTATAATGTGGTGTGGGCGTGGCTAGAAGGGGATGTATAGGCCACTGTTTGGCTAGGCTAGTAGTTTGTATACAGTGTATAAAATAGCTGAAAATCGGTAAACATTAACTGTGTCAAATAAATGGAAATTATGATGTATTTTTATTATGAATATCAAAACATCAATAAAGGTGGAATCATAATTGTTGAATAAAAATATAGTTGCATCTTTCTGTTGATTTATTCTTTAAAAATATAAATCTGTTTTAGAGAAATAAATAATAATATCTTAAGTTTATTTATATCTTTCTCCTTTGTTCATTCATGCTTCACAAACGTAATCTGTTCAGGAAAATAAATCTTAATATCTAAAGTCTGTGTTTTTGTTGTCATTCATACCAAAGGCATTAGCATGGCAGGTGACACCAAAAATGGGCTTCAAACTTTGTACCTGTGTAAGGAATCGAACCACGGTCCTCGGCATGACCAAGAAATGCTTTTCCCCCACCAGGCTACCTCACCGCCCTCACCCAAGGCAGATGTTGGCTGAGACAGTGGAAAATGTGGTGGCATATCACAAACATGTGCTCTGGAGTGAAACTGGTCTCTCTGACCATTTATTCACAAAAAATGACGTTTCTCGTTTGTTTGTTTGTTTGTTTATTTGTTTGTTTGTTGTATAACCACTGTATTAGTTAAGGTATATCTTGGTTGCCTGTAAATAATTGGGTCAGGGACGGATAATCGAGTGATTGATGTTATGAGCAACGATAGTTGGAGTACGATGCCATGCAATAAACACAATAAACAAAATAAGGTTACTGAATCTGGCCACCCGATACAAGAAGTCCCCTCGTGCATAGGTCACTGGGGATCTATGCTAACCAGGGCTGTCCACTGGTGTCTGGAGACCATCCAGACAAATGGAGAATAAATACATCATGACATACTTTTCTGACAAGACCATAAACCTATCAAAAAGATTAATCAAGATGAAAAAATTATAGTTACCGAGATTTTTTCAGTGTAAACCTTTGCAGTACATGCTAAGCATTATTCCAACCTCACATATTGATATCACCCATTTTAACAATTTATAGGCGTTTATTATAATTAAATAATGCTAGACTGGACTATGGCGTTAAGCCATTGATGTTTGGGGTCGTTTTTATGCAGTACGCTATTGTTCTATCATTCTCAGAGGTGATGGATTTTGTTCAAGCTATCAACAGTCTATTTGTTTGTTTGTTGTTTACGGCCACACTCAGTAGTATTCCAGCTATATGACTCTGGCTTGTAATTATCGAGTCTTGACCAGGCAAACCAGTAAACCAGTATCCATTTAGTCACATAATACGACAAAGTTATGCTGCTGGGGACCTATTCTGAAGGGTAAGAAGTCCATTTAAACATATCCCGTAATGTCAACAATCTTTATGTTGAGTAATCAGAAGACTCAGAGGAGAGAAACAAATAGTTTTCAAAAATTTGTTTTATTCCACAACTGTGTAATTTAAAGGCCATCAGACCCATAGAGTATCCATAAAAAAAATCATAAAAAGAAAATACGCAAAAACTGTTTCTGTCAAATGAGAGCCAGGTGAGTCGGGCTTTAAAGTTTTTCCCTCTCATAGTGACCGTGTGTGTGTCTGCTTATACTGAGAAACCATGATGCAGTTTAACATGGGATTCCCAACTCACACACATTATACTGACTCCCACCCGGCCAGTTCTTGTTTTATCTTCTTAATGCTGAGCAGTAACAACAAGCACCACCACCGTCCAACATCTCTTGGTATGAAGCAGCCAGGGCGTTGAAACACTAATGAGTGAGTGAGTGTATCAGTGAGTGGGTGCCTGCGTGCGTGGGGAATGTTATTTTTTGGTACATTTCACAATATATTACATCATTACGGACTACAAAAGGTTAGCCATATCAGTTATAATTGTATGAAGCAGTAATGGTGATGTGGCTGGAATAATGCTAATAGTGGCTTGAAACCATCGCCACACTCTGGTATGTCTACTCCTAATTCATTTACTTCCAGTGATAAAGTATTATACAGCTTTTAGCAATATTCCTGTCATATCATGGTGGACACTAGGAATGGGCTTCACAGATAGTGAGTGAGTTGTGACTAATGCCGTTTTAACAGTACTCCAGTTATATCAAGTGTCAGCTTAATGTGGGAGGAAAGCCTGGAGTGATGTAGATCTAAGACGTTTTCCACTTTGGTAAAACCCACGATCATGGGTATGGTGCTGCCAACCTAGAAACATATCATTAGGAGCGAACCATGATTCAAACCCCTTGTGATAAGTTCCTCGTGTGCAACTCTGTACAGCGAATTGCGGCGCCATAGAAGATTAGGCCACTCGTGCTCACACATAGTAAGCATGTGGGCAAACAAACCAACTATGGCCTAGACTACCCCACAGGCCCTCAAATACAAACAGGCTGCCATGATAAATATGCTGTAATATTATTGATTACAGCATAAAGCTACAATCAATTAAATAACAACACTGTGTACGCAGATCACAGTAAAACGTATACTGTACAAAACACATAAAGTCAATGCTCCATGACTACAAAAACAACAAATTCATTGAGAATATTTCCTTGTTTACCATGTTTACAGTAATCATACAATTATGCATTCAGTCCAGATTACAGGATAACATCTGGTGTGGTATTCCCTAGGCTGCATCAGATGGGATGTCCCCACTATGTGATAACATAGCAACACTAAACACTTCAAACTCAACTGGACACATTGGATGGTCTGATAAAGATAACTTGATACTAATCGAAGTGTAGAAATATCACAACACTCGGCCACCAAACATACACCCTACATGGATATGATTTGACAGGCTTGCAAGCTTCTTCAGAGTCCACAAAGGGATATAGCAGTACCGAGGGGTTACTACAGCCATGGTTCTATGATGGCTTTGTGAAATATCAACAGATACAGCAGGGGAAACTGATTTACCGCAAAGAAAATCCATGTACATTGTAACAAACTGAAGGCCAACAAAACATCTTATTCAACAGTATGTATCAACATTTCCTCGGTGACACAAATCTATATCTCAACAAAGTAAACCATAGTAGATAGCAGTTTAGTATATATGGTGCACATGGTGTACTTCAGATCAGTTTGTCATGTGATGTGTGGATCAGAAGGTGCCATCAGCTAGAGGCTGATATAAGTCTTTTCATTCATCCTGCGAGTCTTGGCACTAGGTTCCCCTGCAACTGCTTCCTGAAACTCAGCATCCTGACTGTTGTGGAATCCAGGCAACCCTGACCCCATACTGACAGCTTGATCCAGAGGATGGTGTGCTGTATTGGAGGTCAAGGTCAAGTTGTGTGAACTGTGACCTTGATGTGAGTGAGTCTGTGAGTTGAGCACCTCAACATGTGCAGGCTGCACCTCAGACACTGAGTGTGTCCCGTGCAGCTGTCCCTGACCGCCCTGTGTCTGTACAGCAGGGAGCGACGTGGGAACCTGCATGTGTGTCTGCAGATGGGGCGGCTGTGGTGGCATCTGCAGCTGAGCCTGTTGTGTGGTGTGCACCAGAGGCTGGTGAACTCCCTGTAAGGTTTGTGTGGCCTGCATTGATGGATGGACCGTTGGTACGGTGATGGTACTCTGTCCATAACCCAAAGGCACTGCTTGTTGATACTGTACACTGTCCAGTGGTAACTCTCCAAACCGTTTGTGGGTGTATGTCATTTCAGGTTGAACTGGTGGTGGAGGATTAGTCCAGTTCTGAGTCACAGGAGGGTAAACCACTTGTTGATTGGGTAACGAGTTGGGGCCCTGTTGTAACACCTGTCCTGATTGGTCAACTACAGCTATAGTCTGCTGTGAAGTTCCTTCATCCAATATCTGCTGTTCAATCAGTTTCTGTACAACTCGTTCACGACTGAAATCTTTGAGAGGTTGTGGATCCTGACATGGTTTTGTTGTAGAAGGCTTGGGAGGAGAAATTTCAGGCCGAACAGTTAGTTTAGTAGCTGACGGTTTAAAATCCTTCAGCTCACTGTCCTTGCCAGTCAAATCAGACAGAGTTGATGATTTGGACTCACTTTTCACTGATTTCATATTCTTATTCTCAGCCACCTCTGTTTGTGCCTTGTTTTCAATATCATTCTCTTGTTCTGAACCTTGACTTGACCACCCTTTGATGTAACCTTTGTAATCTGGAAACAATTCTTTGTCCAGTATCACATAGTTTGATATTTTCTTGTTTACCGAGTGTTCTGAACTTATTGTAACCACTGGACGTTCAAAATCTGGAATATCCACATTGAGAATCTTGCACACCCTTGTCATGACTTCATCCACATATGCCCATATTCTTAGTTTTGCATACTTGTCGTGCTTTGTGGGCTGAAGATTGACGATAGCTAGCTTCCCTCCACTACCCACTGTCATCATAGGCAGGTTCCCACTCGGAACAATCTGTAACGATGTGCCTAAACACAAGCTGAGGTCCGCTTTCCTATGATGAAAAACATAATTGACATAAAGGACCGGTCATTTTATTACCAAGAATACTGGGAATGCTCTGGAGATCAGTTCTAAGTTATAAAGCTTGTGATTTTGTGCCAACCCAACATCTGTAATTACTAGACAATTTCTTTCATGACACTTTGATGCATAAGAGTGAGTGTTCGCTTGTTGTCAAATGCAGCTGTCAGCAATATGCCAGCTGTATATGATCTGCTAATAGTTGAGTCTGGAGTAGACAAACCAGTGACCGATATTATGAACAACAAACAATGACATGCAATCATAGCGCCTGACCAGCCGATCCATACAGTCGCCTGTTACAACAAGCATAGATACTGGAGAACTATTCTAACCTGGGGTCCCCAAAGGATGAGTACTTTAGCGAATGATGTTTTATAACTTGCCCGTGAAGAGATCATTCCTTTAATAAACATACAGCTGTATTACACTTTGAGTAATAACAAAGCGTGTACTTATGTACTGCAAGAATTGTTTCTCTGTTGGATCTTGCAACAAAATTCCACATATTACGTCATAGGGTATTGTGACGTGAGTGTAAACGTTGTGATGTAGGGTCCCGTTCCACAAGGTGATTGTAGCGCAATGACAGTCGTAAATCAATGTAAAAGTATGGGAGTCATGAAAACCTTAGCGCTATGATAGCTTTGAAGAAGGGACCCCTGAATTCTAAAGGTAGGCAGCTGTTCGGTATTAAACTGGATTATGATGTGGATCACATAAATGTCTGCCTATTCATACACAAAAGTGAAATATTAAGAAAAATTAATAAATAAAATACAAAACTCGCTCCTGTTGTAATACCGATTTATGAAACTCATGAATAGTTCTGGTATCTGACTTGCTTTGTCTCGTCTGACATCAGAGTTTCATAAAATTGGTATTACATGGGAGCTCATTTAGTATTCTATATTTACACCACACTCAGCCAAAAGCTGCCCCTTATGACAAACATTGGATGCTTGGTACTTATTATTTACCGGACCCCATGCAAAGAATCTGAAGATGATTACTATCGGTATCACACAAGCATTATGATTATATATATGTCGGCTGTAATTGAGTCAGAGAAAATGAGGGAAGAGCAGTTCTGGACATGTTGGAGGGTGTTGAGAACACATGTCATAAAATGTTGGACACCTGTGTACCTTGGAGGAGTGTCGCATACATTAAGGAAGGATATCTAAACATACACAGATATGTGTACAAACTGTTGACAGCTTACTTGGATTCTATCTCTGCCTGTTTGAGGTCCTGTTCAGGAAGTGAATCCTCCCAATCCAAGATGGTGTCCGTCAGCTTACCTCTACACAGAAAAGTGAAATATTGAAAATTTAAAAATATATTATGTATATATATAAACTTCTCCTATCACATACTATGCATTTCTTCCTTCTTCTTTTGATCCTGGTGTGGAAATGTCCTAAAACCAAGTTTCCAGCTTCACAAACCCTACAATCCAATACATCCGAGCATCACCACTTAAACAATGGGTCATGCACCACAGTGTGCGACCTGACCCCAAGCGACCTGATCATCTAACATACCCTGCCACATCATTCTCTTTCTTAGAGTGGACAGGCTGGTGTTACTGTGATGTGGGGATGTTTGGGTGGGCACATAGTGTGGGAAATAGGATGAGAATATAAATATATATACAATTCATTTATAATTTTTTAAAACTTATCCTATCTCACACTATGCATTTATCCCATGGTTGGATGGTGGGGCGCAGAATCCCTAGCCTGTAGAGACTACAACCATGCAATGTACACAAGGAGGCCGGTGCTAAACTCTGTTACAATCAGAAACATTCTTATCAAGTTTAGTGTCGCAAAGACAAGAGCTCGTGAATGGGGGAAACAAACCCCTTTGTGTTACTAGGACACAGTGATCATGATAGTCGGTAACTCATGCGTTATGTGTCTTCAGGCAGGACGTCAACCCATGAGAAAATAGAATGACTGCATAACTCTGAACTAGGGAAACCTATTCAGCTAGGAATTGTAACCACTTCCATCCAGAAAGGTTAAACACAATTTATCTGGCCAATTGGTTCTACAAGACATGCCTCACACGTCATTTCTGACAGACAGTCTTACTTAGGCATGTCCCTGTTGCTAGGGCTGGTAGAAACACTGTCTTGAGTGTGATGTGTTCTAAATCTTTATCTACAAAAAGTTCATTGTCCTCTGAAGTTAAAAGGCGTAGGATGACGAAACCGGGAAGGTTGATCAGCCAGCTTGTAAGATCGAGTGAGACTTGGATTGAGGAAAGGTTGAAGAAGTAGTGGGATTGATGGTCTCCACTTCATGTTGATCACACTAGTGAGAAACGGGGGATGATAATCCACTCTCTAGAGAAGTTCGGGACACATTAAGTGTTGAAATCTCCCCAGTCAACTTCTCTCTAGTTTCCACCGTACGTCGATCCATGGCTGGCAGGGAGGCAGTAACTGGGTGTGGTCACAGAATTGGTGGAAAGATCCTCTGTCAGAAAACTATCTGAGACTAAATCCTCCTCAACAGATAGTGACTAGGGATGGGACGACTCAGGTACTCGTGTCGGGTGGGTACTGAATAGGACCTGGGTACCCACAGGACTACCAGGACCCATGATCAGTCACATGATATATTGTTTATTTGCTAAATTTACCCATAACTCCATGGTTACACTGCAAGTCACTATTCTTTGCATTTCTTTCTGACTATACATGCATTCATTCTGACATTCATATGTTTGAAAAAAGACAAAACTTTAATCAACATCAGTGTATGCATGACCAGAACATTCTATATATAAGTGTATCTAAATACTTTTGCCAGGGCTGCGGGCAAAGAATTCCCATCTGGAAATTTTGTACCAACTCTAGAGACCTACGACGGGTACCTGGGTAGGATCAGGTCATCGGGTGTTTTGTACCCGGGTAGGGTCAGGTCATTGAGTATTTGGTACCGGGGTAGGGTCAGGTTATTGGGTGTTTGGTACCCGGGTAGGGTCAGGCCATTGGGTGTTTGTTACCCGGGTAGGGTCAGGTCATCGTGTGTTTGGTACCGGGGTAGGGGCAGGTTATCGGGTGTTTGGTACCCGGGTAGGGTCAGGCCATCAGGTGTTTGGTACCGGGGTAGGGTCAGGTCATCGGGTGTTTGGTACCGGGGTAGGGTCAGGTTATCGGGTGTTTTGTACCCGGGTAGGGTCAGGTCATCGGGTGTTTGGTACCGGGGTAGGGTCAGGTTATCGGGTGTTTGGTACCGGAGTAGGGTCAGGTCATTGGGTGTTTGTTACCCGGTTAGGGTCAGGTCATCGGGTGTTTGGTACCGGGGTAGGGTCAGGTTATCGGGTGTTTTGTACCCGGGTAGGGTCAGGTCATCAGGTGTTTGGTACCGGGGTAGGGGCAGGTTATCGGGTGTTTGGTACCGGGGTAGGGTCAGGTGATCGGGTGTTTGGTACCGGGGTGGGGTCAGGTCATCGGGTGTTTGGTACCTGGGTAGGGTCAGGTTATCGAGTGTTTGGTACCGGGGTGGGGTCAGGTCATCGGGTGTTTGGTACCTGGGTAGGGTCAGGTTATCGAGTGTTTGGTACCCGGGTAGGGTCAGGTCATCGGGTGTTTGGTACCGGGGTAGGGTCAGGTCATCAGGTGTTTGTTACCGGGGTAGGGGTAGGTTATCAGGGGTTTGGTACCAGGGTAGGGTCAGGTCATCGGGTGTTTGGTACCCGGGTAGTAAATATGGACTCATCCCAGCCTTAATAGTGACATGACAGTTGCTGTTTCGGCAGGCTTGACCTCTGGAACAAATGATCTGACAGTTACTTGAGTGACATGTTTAGGTTTCTTGGCAGTGGAAGGTCCATGCTCCGTGTTCTTCGGTACAGATCATTGATCGTTGGTCAATAATGCGTTTGCGACATTTGCGAATATCACAAAAATCTTTCCACTGTAGTTGTCTGCATTGTGAACATCTGGAAGACAACTGCATTGTCCACGACAATCACAGCAGTTGGAGTGAGGGTCTACTGACAAAAAAATATGATTACTTTTTGCACATGGGCGTTTCTCCATGTTAAACCAATCTCATTAAAATCAGACCTTAGTTCTTGCTACTGCTAGACAAAGATCTGCAGACATCCCATTAGGGGTCATGTCAGAACGAACTTTCATACAACCAATCAGTGCGTCGCTTACCAGATTATGAAAGTGACAGTCGGAATGTGATTTCTAATCATGCAATCTCGAAAACTTTAACATGGGCTATTCCGAACGATAGTTACAAGTTTAACAACTGAATCCTTACAATCTAGACCATCTATTAGTCATTCCAGAATGTTTTTTTCATTCAGGTTTCAAATTTGTAATCAAGAATTTGTCAAAGCATGTTTCGAAGCGTAGTCGCCAATTTGAAATTTGTGCCGTAAAGCACGAGAAAGCTGCCTTCTGATTGGTAATTCCATTGGTTGGTCAAAGTGACCCGTAATGGATGTCCTCAGATCTTTGTTTAGCGGTAGTGAGAACTAAGATCTGATTTTAATGAGATTGATGTTAAACTGATTGATATGTTGCAGCTGTCTGAGGAAGATTCACAAGAAAACAAAAAACCAAATATACTTCTCCATTAATTCAAAACACGTCCCCACACTGTGGCTATAAGAAAGAGAATGATGTGGCAGGGTATGTCAGGTGATTAGGTTGCATGGGGTTGCAGTGGTTGATGACCCATTGTTTAGGTGGTGACAATGGTGATGCTAGGATGTGTTCGGGTGTAGTGTTTTTTTAAGCTGGAATCTCGGTTTTAGGACATTTCCACACCAGGATCAAAAGAAGAAAGAAGAAATGCATTGTGGGAGATAGGAAAGTTTACAAATTTAACATTACCATCAAACATACACATGAAATTCAACAATTTTAATCTAAGTGCCCGAGCTTTGTTAAACTGTTTACTATTTAGAAATCCATGGTACATGGTATTAATAAGAATGTCTCAAGATCCAAAACGAGAACCTTATTCTAGTTCAGACACCTTATCAAGCACAAGCACCTGAAATTGTACACTTGAGTTTACGAAAGAGAATAGATAGAGACTGTTCACCACTTTTAGTAATCAGCAATAATGGGCTGCACACATTGTCCCATATGAGGAAATAAACCCCAGGGCTTTGATGTGATGAGTGACCACTTAGCCTTAGGGGGGACCCCCATGAGAATGTTTCGTGTTTACCTGCAGCGCCCCCTGGATTTAGACTGAGTACAACTCCTCCCAGTCAGCTTCAGACCCATGGTCGGGGTGCAGGTGCTCAGTATGTACTGTAAACAATGGGGGTTAGATATGTCAACATGGTAACATCAATAATAACTTTAAAAGGTGATGTGGTGGAAAGAAAATATCACCAGAATACCAGACATTTTTTCATTCAATCAACACATGTTTTTGTTTGTTGTTTTATGCCAAACTCAGCAATATTCAGCTATATGAAGACCATCTGTAAATAATGGAGTCTGGACCTGACAATATGTGATTGACATCATGTGCATCAATCTAATCAATTGGGATACGATGACATGCATCAACCAAGTCAGCCAGCCTGAACGCACGTTAGTCACCTGTTATGCCAAGCATGGGTTGCTGAGTACCACTTCTAACCCAAATCTTTGGGGAAATTATGTTTACGATGGGGATTATCCCTTGGCCAGCTGCTGGACAAGTAGGAATTCACCGTTTATAGTACCCATACAAGATGATAGTCATACAAAGAACTAGTTACAGATACTAATTGTTATTTTAATTATTCAAAATGCCAGGATCTCATGTTGTTTTGTACACTCAGCAATGTCATCTTTCCAAGGCAAGAGAGTTAACTGACTTTAAAAGTCCAGGCCGAACTAGGCTGGAATTCCTGGGCTCTATCGTAGCGCCTCCAGTGGCTATCGTGAGTTATGCCCTTTCTAAGCATTTCCTATGGACCAATCATATTTCACCTTTCATATCATTTCCATTTGTTTCAAACAAAATGGCGGCGCCCAGTCAAGACAATCTGATCGATAATCAAGATCTATATTGTGATAAAACGGGTCTTACATGCATCAAATCATACGAGCACCTTGATTAAAAACATGAAAGAATTTGGAAAATATTGGTTGACAATGAGTTGGCGGTGCACATGCTTTGCAAATCCTGCAACCGACCAGAATCTGCACAACAACTGGATTTCGATTTCGTTGCGCGTTTTTAATTGGACTATGCATAGACTCGTTAGTCCAGCCAAAATGTAACTCCATTATACCGGCCTAGTTTGGCAAGGGTGGAAACTGGAGTTTTATAGTCAGTTAACTCTCTTGCCTCGGGAAGATGCAGCAATGTATGCAATGTTATTTTTGTAGGATTACCAGAAATAGAACCAGTTAGACTGACCACTTCCTGATGTATCTGTTTAGCTGCTAAGCATTACAAAAAAAAACAGTAAATAGACTCTGCAACCCAGTCTAAATATCAGCCAATGAAAACCTGTGTCATGCACTGCTGCACCATTGCAACAGTGGCTTCAGGCCACACAGAATCCGATCAGTGTGTGATCTTTTCAGCACTTTCATTTGGTCATTTAAATACTTTCTACGAATGTTATGATATTTTTCCTCTCGGAATTGACTTAAGTATCTAGGAAAATTGTTATTTGCAACAAAATCACAATCAATGTTTTCATTTTACTTGCCCTTTAAAGAGCCATATATTTCATGAATCCCTTTCATAGGCTGATGATCACTACCACTAAATCCATGAGAATTGTACTCAACAGAAATAAAATTACTGAATGCTCATTTGGCAATAACAACACCATAACAAAATATTTCGAAGGAAAATGAATTAATTTAAACAATGGTAAACAGGCTGTTTAAAAAAACACAGAGCAAAAGAGCATCTGATAACATGATTTGTTTGCATATTGATTTACGTTGCAGTCAATAATATTCTATGAAAATAAACAATTAATGCAATTTGATCAAGGACACTTGTACTATAACAGTGACAGCAACATCTTTATAGTGAGTGAGTATGGTTTTACGCCGCTTTTAGCAATATTCCAGCAATATCACACCAGAAATGGGCTTCACACATTGTACCCAACATCTTTATATGACAGAGATGTGTGTCGGTGACACAGACTGCAAGAAGGGAAGGATGTTATATTGTATAGTCACCTGGGTGCCACATTTATTACACTCTTCCACAAACATGTTGCCATGGAGTTCGGAGAGTCGACTGACTGGATACCCGGAGCGGATGTGAAGTCCATCCACGTTCTGGCTCACTGTGTACTTCAGCATATCTATAGGAAATATCAACAAAGGAAATAACAACAAAAACAAAACAGGACTTTCTTCAAAAACAAATTATTATTTTTCTCTATTTTTCAGTTTAACATTCATGTATGGCAGGTATAGTAATGTTACAGTATGGATTCTCAGATGTATCTTCTATTGATTTTCTTTCTAAACTTTACTTGTTACTTAAGGGAAAGATGTCTTGTCTCACTCTTTTTCTCCAATCCAACAAGTGCCATATGTGTACTGGTGGGACGAGCTGATTCAAATGTCACATTAAAGTGTGGTTGTTCGCCTTTCTTCTCCAGGGTCCACACACCTGCAATCAAACATAATGATAAGATTAAAATAATTAACTAAACACAAACTGAAACTGAAACTGAAACTGCCCACATGGAAAATCTGGATTATATAAAAGTATAACTGAGCACATGTAGTTGGTTAAATTGGCAAGTCATTCAACATTCATACAGAAGATTTTGAACAAAAAACAAATTCTTACCTTTGGGGCCTCTAAAGTCTGGGATTCCAGCTGAAGTGCTAATACCAGCTCCTGTGTGAACGACAAAATGGCGACTTATCCTAATCATGTCAGCCAACTCTCTGATTTTCGATTCCAAGATGTCCGGCGGGTCATATTTCTCTGGCATCCCACACTTGCCCTTATTGTCGTACGGGGACAAGCCAGCAGCATAGTTTACAGACATTCCTCTCTCGTACTTTTCTCGAAAAAGATCTGCAAGAAATTTTATTCAACATTTGTTCAAAGAGGTCAAATATTGTGGATTTTTGTTTGTTTTATGGTTCAGACAGGAATATTCCAACTATATCATATCATTAAGACTGGACCAGACAAACCAGTGGTTGATATTATGATCAGCTTGCCACACTGTGGGTGTAAGATGACAAGTCATCAAGTGATCAAATTAGCAGCCTCTTACAACAAGAAGTGCTGGCCAGCTATTCAAACCTGGGACCCCTTGGGAGTCATGGCAAAGGAAATAGAGAAATTGGTTCTTAATACTGTACCTTGATCTAGTCAGTCAGTAAGGTTGACAGCATGTGTTGTTGGGGACCAATTCTAACAAGGGATCCCCTCTGGAGAGCTAATAATCATGATAATGGTCAGCAAATTCAGATAAGAAATTACTGAAATTGAAGTTTGATCTATTAACACCCCAAACATTTAATTTGGCACCACCAATGTGAACTGGCATTGTCATGTATAAGTATATTTGTATTCTCAAGATCCCGTTAAACATGTTGAACAATCTTAGAGCTATGAATAGGAGTGCAGTAAGCATGTTAATAATCAAGCATTAAAGAATATAACCAATGGCTGACAGCATGAGCATGGAACATGATGGGCCAAGTCACACATTGATGATTGAGCTGAGGATGTATTCTGACCCTGATTTGGATAAGTACAAATATGAAGCTTAGTTGGCACTTACAACTTGTTAAAAAAAGGAAATAGCACCTGTACCAAAATGTTGCAATGAAAATAAAGAAGTTGAAATCCATGTCAACCTCGTCTTCATTGATACCACAGCTTCTAAAAAGCCACTCATACAAGCGAAAGATTGCGGGGATCCTATTCTGATGTGGCATCTGATCCCTGCTGGGGCTTAGCACCAAGACTATGTTATGTGTTATCAAGTTTAGGAGTTAAACCAGTTGTAGCACCATATCACTTTGTGAAATTGGCAAAGACATTTAAAACAATTCCTTTCTAATGATTGACTTAATCAAATAATCTCTAAATGACTGAGCTCCAAAGGCAATATATGCCTTCATTCAATTCAGTTTATTCGTTGTATGTTATACCATCGTCCAAATAGACATTGTATGAATTTAATGTGTTGGTTGCTAGTATGCCAAGAATGAATGGAATGAGTACCATAGTCAATAGAATCTACACTCAGTCGTTTGTGTACAAAAAGCTTCACCGGATCGCGCGTTGAAACGCCATGGGCAAAGTCAAAATATTAAAATACTTACTGCAAGTGTGATTAATATTATCGTTCAAAGCTTCTTAATTACTGTATAGAGAAACACGCACGAAATAATGCCCATTTAGAACAATACAGTACATTGTCGGAAGTTCCAAGCGTCTAACGCGAGTATCGCAAACTCTTCTTCTATGCACCTTCGTGATGCGGTAGAGAGGGTACGGTATAGGAGGCATCGCTACATAACTGTTAGGAGTTCTATCAAGACGAAAACTTCCGGTTCCAAATTGCACGGTGTGGCGTGAGACAACCGAGACACCGGTGGTAGCTGGCAAAATGTCTCGCAGTAAAAATGATTTATGCGCTCGCATCTTGAAAGACCTTTATGGAGAACTTCCTTACAAAATAGGAAAATATCTTATGGCCAAGGGAGCATGCCCTCTCCGTTTAATAACCACAGACACAAAAATTCCTCATAACAGTGTAAGTGCACGTCATGATCGGTGGTATAGTTACAGGGACATGTGGAGAAGAACGATGTACCTGTTTGTGCTTAAACGAAGCAAATCTAGGTTTTCCACAGGTTCTGAAATTATCATCTCATTGGGGCTTTTAACTTCAACGAAACTGCTTATTTCTATCAAAATTATGGGAGCACGAGTGGCCCAGTCGTCTAAGGCGCCGCGATCCGGTGTGCAGAGTCGCGTCCCTTGGGCATGCCCGAAACCTATGATTGTGGGTTCGAAACCCTGGTTTCTCCCCGATTATGTTTCTGTGTTTGTCAGCACCATACCCGTGCTCGTGGGTTTCACCGAAGTGGTAAACGTCTGAGACCTGCATCACTTTGGGCTTTCCTCCCACATTAAGCTGACACGCCGTGATATAACTTGAATACTGTTAAAAGCGGTGTTAAACCCAACTCACTCACTCATTCACTATCAAAATTACGTATTTTCAGAGGTTGGGCGTTATAAGCAAAACAGTATTTTAAGCACATAGAAAGCGTTGCATTAATCCCGTCTGTCTACTAACAAAAGTCTGGTCATGTGACAAGGCTACGCCCGTGGAGTGATCACTGGAGCAGGACATTCTGTTGCCGAATAAGGCGAGCAGAGCCGAGTTAGATCAGGGGTTATCGGCTAATGTTACCAAATAAAGCTTCAGAACAGTCAACATCCTCTCCTTTTAAGAATTTTTTTTTTTATGAATTTATTAAGAGATACTAATTCAGAGTTGTAGTAATGATTTGTATTGTTTCTACTGCAGGTGAAAAGAGCCCTGTGGGTGCTGAGTCATCAAAATATAGTTCTCTTTGAGCAAAACAAAAAATCTTTCATTGAATATGGGATATCTTGTGATAGAATTTTGTGGCATGTCAGATACCCTAAGTACATATACTGTGCAAAGACTCTGTATGGAGATGCTGCTGAACTCATGGTAGAAGAACTACTTCAGGGAGGTCAAGGTCTCATGAGTGGGGTTGTTTCCAAGGTAACAGAACGTCTCAATGAAGCACTGGAAGCATCAGGTGCGTAGAAACATTTGTCTTATAGAGTATGTTAACATGATCATGTGTAACTACCGTATTGGACGTAACAAGCGCCCCGCTCTAATAAGCGCCCACGGCGATATTTGCTAATATACTGGCAAGTGAACGATCCAAATTAGCATCCCTTCTGATTGATCAATGTACACAAGACATATTTATTCGTGTATAATACGCACTCGTGTGTTATATGCACCCTTAATTAGGGGCAATTAAATTCTGGAAAAATATATCTGTCGTATATAAACAGTTCAGACCGTCAGCATAAACCACAAAATTTATCTTTCAATTCTGTTTTTTCCCACCAAAATAATATTCTAATAGGAGCCCCCTATTTCTAATTTTGAGAGCGCCCTGGGCGCTTATTACATCGCATACGGTATTAGTTTTGTTTGTTTGATGTTTGTTGTTTAGCACAATACTTAGCAATATTCCAGCTCTATAAAAGCAGCTGATAAATAATCAAGTCAGGACCAGAGAATCCAGTGATTGATATTGTGAACAACGATCCATGTCGTCAGGGTACAAACACATGCTATCAAACAAGTCACCGAATCTGACCAACCGATCCATTTGGTCGCCCTTTTATGACCTGTATAACACAGGTTAATTGGAACCTATTCTAACCCGGAATCCCCACAGGGAAATCATTAGTTTAGCAGTATTTCTTTCAGTTTTCTTAATTCATAGACATGTCAGCTTCTAGAGGGAATTCTGGAGGACTAGGATGGGGCAAATGACAGTTCCAGAAAGTACATCTAATTAAAACAACACCATTTTATCTTCTGACTCCAAATGTATGTCTTTCACTTAATAATTACTCTTATCCCTAAAGGAAACTGTTTTACTTTTTTGAATCGCTAGATTAGTGAGTGAGTATGGTTTTACGCCGTTTTTAAGCAATATTCCAGCAATATCACATCGGGGAACAACAGTAATGGGCTTCACACATTGTACCCATGTCGGAAATTGAACCCAGGTCCTTGGCCTGACTAGCAAACGCTTTTACCACTAGGCTTCCCAACTGCCCCGAATCACTAAATTAAACAGTGTAGACCTATACTGAATATGATCAATAGGCAGTGGAGTGTAGTCTCCCTTTCAAGGTGATTCACAATGTAGTTTGAAGAGATTATAGTACTTACAGGCCATCATCATATAGCTGGATTATGGTCGAGTGTATAACAGCAAACACACACACTAGATTGAGAGAGTGAGTGTTACCAGTGAGTCATGTTTAACATGTTTCTGTAATTGTATGATACTGGGTGACTGTATTCATGGTAGTGTGCATGCTGTGATACATAGATACATGATGACACGGACAGCCTCTGTTAAGATCCGGGTTAGAATTATCTTCATCAACCCATGCTCGTCGCCAGAGGCAAATAATGGGATCAGCTGGTCAGGCTCGGTTGATGGATGTTATCACGTCCCACATTGTATCATGGACACTCTATAGGGTACATGATTGTGTAAACAATGCTCGTGATGTCAATCATTGGATCATTTACAGACCATTGTCATATACATGATATAGCTGATATATTACTGATTGCAGCTTTAAACAACAAACAAATGTGGTGAAATACCAAATGCTTCTCTAACCAAAGACATAAGATACAAAATCAATTTAAACTCAAATGATTTGAGCTTTTCAAGTTTCAAGTTGATACAGGTATATCCTGTATTGTATTGTCATGATTGTCAGGTGTGACTTTGTAACATATGCATGATATGAATACATCCGTGAATCTGGACATCACTTGTGGTTAGCATGGTTGGATTTATACTTGTGTCTGTGCACTGTTTCTATGTCAAGGGGTACTCTTGTAATATTGATGCCGTGATGTGACATAATCTTAAAATACTGTTCAAAGCAGAATTTTGTCATGTTTTTGTTGTCTTATTTGTGTTTTTATATTCTCTTTTAAATTCCTCTTGATAGGTCATCCTAAAATCAACATGTCGCTGGTTAAGGACAAGTTTTCGAGTTTGGTGAGAACTCACTTTCTGCATAGAAGCTTGGAGCCTGTGAAAGATGATAATAACAGAGTTATCTCCCTTCAATCACCACAGAACAGAGAGGAGTTGTTCCAAACACCGCTGGAGACGGAGGGTATAAATTGACAAAAAGTTTCATTGTCCTATAATTTATTGAAATGTTAAAACATTGCTAAAAGAAAAACAGTGTGATTAGATACATCTTGTCTTCTCCCTAACAGAAATTTTGAAGACAAATCTTTTAAGAAATATTTATGATGAGCGAATGGTAAGATATCTAAAAACATATGTTACTATTATTTTGACACAGTTGACAAGAACATTAGAAATATGTGCTTACAGGTCCCAAGAGGAAGCGGTCAGTTGATGACCATTCCAACCCGACCAAGAAACTGAAGACTGAAGGAGGAGAAAAAGAGGTTATTTTCTGAGGCATTTTCATTGAAAAATTTTATATGACCATTATTGTTTGAATCAATGTTTGATGCATTTGTTACTTAAAAGTTAAATTTTCCAAATCCTTTTTAAGTATTGAAACCCTATAGAATGCAACTTCATTTTGATTCTGATCAATAAATGTCAGTCAGTTTATGGAACATGGAAGATTTGCTTGAAGACTCATTGCCATAGTTTTACTTATTGTGTATACACTGTAGGGATTTCCAACTAGAATAACTAAGACGTTTTTGTTGTTGACAACTTGTTGCCTGCAAATTTATCAGGTACATTTACCAGTGGGACATTGTTTAACAGAGCATGACATTTGGACCCCTATTTCCATGTTTCGTGTGGGCAATTAACAACCCTATCCAGTTTCCACGACCAATATGTTTCTATGCTTTTTGTCCAGACTTTGTGGATGAATAGTAATATAGAAGCATCCTCTGATTTCAGGTTCCATTTGATGATGGTTTGTACTGGCAGGTGAACTTTGACCGCTTTCACCAGCACTTCCGGGATCAGGCCATCATTGACGCTGTTTGTAACAAGATAGACAAGGTGGGAGATACGTCTACTTTCAATGCAAACTCCGAATTGATAAAATCAATTTAGATCTCTCTTTCCTAAATTCTCTAATCCACAGTTCTTACACCTATTAGATATTAGCAAGGGGGTAAAAGTGGCAGTGAGATCAAACCCCTTACAACTCCCTATGCAGAGTTGTGTCCCTTAGCTGAGCCAGGATTTGCTTGTCTTTGATTCAGATCCCTGATCCTTGGACTGTGTTGGCCTCCATGTTTTTTAAACTGCTGGATTCATGAATGTGGTTGTTTCAAAGACTTGCATCATTTTTTTATCTTATTAAGCCCACATGTCATGATATAACTAAAATACTGTTCAAAGCACCCTCAATTATCCAGTGTATTATCATGATATAATCTCCATCCTATCATCCTATGATGATGAATACTCTGGACTCCTTTGCCACTGTGGTTTAATTTTGGAAGTGATGTCACCATCTCCTTCTGGGTAAGAATTGCTCAAGAACCCATGCTTGTCACAAGACGTGAACACACATACACGTGCAGGCAAGTCGCTATATAAGTGTAATAATCTTGGAAGCAACGTAAAACCCCATTTCTTGATACATGTCATAATATCCAAACTGGGTAGATCGATCATGATATCAATGACTGTATT